TAACAGCTGTCTGTTCTCTAGTATTATTTGGGGGCAAGATTGCAACCTTTTCTTAAGTGCATACACACCCCTTGCAGCTCTACAGATTCCTGAATTTTATTTAGGGTATGATGTCCAGTTCACATCTGTGCCTAGATGTGCACGTTACAGTTTGACTTTTCACTCAGGAACATCTGTGCTGTCTTCACACAATTTTCTTTACTTTCCCAATAAGTACTAAGTTAAGGGCAGAAATAAACGGGAAGAAACCATAAATCAAAAGCAGTATTTTTATAAATTAAAGGTGATGACGTGTCAAATGAAGGGACACTTATGTACATCTTTATGGTGACTTTTTCCATTACATGAACAGCTCAAGTACATTTACAAAAACATTAAGTGATAAATTCACTTGAGAATCAATTTAACAACGTGTATGTGCACACACATATGCACACAAGTAGCTAAGTTTACAAATGTGTCAGTTATCTGGTGGCCATTACTGAATTAAGAATAGCAATTACTGAGTCACCCCAGATTTCAATTATATTTATACATAAATTATGCATTTATAAAAACCTTACAAATAATTCTATTTTCCAGGAAGACATTGTAGGTAACAATTTAACACATGTAGTAAGAAAACATTTTATATTCTTAAAATCACAAACAATTCAATAGTCTTATGGCTACTATGAATCAAGAATTCTATGTATAAAGACTTCTCCATCTTTATGTCACAGTAACATGTCCTTCAAATTATTCGTCCTAACATAGTTTATACATTAATTGTCTTAATGCAAGGAAAGTAAACATTTTTGAAGTCTGATCTGATATAAATCCACACAAATTTTAATCAGTTATGTCAAGAAAATCTCCAAAGTACTGCAAAAATTTAGATTTCTACTCAAATCATGTAAGATGGACAGATTGAGTTGTTTTCAAACAAATAAATGATTAGTTACATTTTACTGACAATTTTACGACATGTTAGAAACTTAGTTTATAGCATGTTGTGTAAAGTTTGAGAATCCTGTAAAGGATCCAAATCCTGCCCTTGGGCGATGCACTGAGGTCACTTGCCAAAAAAGAGAAAGTGAAATGTATTAACTGGGAACAACTATTTATATCATTTATTTCAAGAAATAATGATACTTACCTTTGCCATAGTAACAGCCTGTCTTCTTTTAGAAATGAAATGCTAAGTATTTTAGAAGCCAACAATAAGATTCGAATGACCGGGATAATCAAAACAAATCAAACGTTTGTCCTAATAAGACCCAGTAAATGCATACATGAAAATACCTAGTTCCACATTAAATGCTGTAACATTTATATATAGTAGTGTATTTCATTTTTAAAATGTATACAGCAAAAATATTCACATTTAAATTTAAACTCTGTACAGAAATTATTCCTTTAGTCAAGAAAACAAATTATGTAAGTTACCAAGGGGAACTCAACAGAGGAAATTTCCTTGGGAGATTCACTCAGCTGAATATTTCTCTTCACAATAGAGCCTAGAGAAGTAATTAAAGAGACCTCAGGTTTGTTTTTTATCAGTAGGTCATCCAAATTGAATGATGGTTCATGGGTAAAGTTAATGCTTTAAGTGATGCCTATTCAATTTCTCATAAGTGTGTATATCAGGAAGCTATAATTATTGCACGATTCCTGACAAGATCAGTACAAAATCCAATGTTGAGAAGCTAAATCTGGGCCTGAGAGACCCCTCCTGCTTATATAGAGGTCTATACATAGCATAGAGCTGTGTAACTCTCTTTGTATCCTAAAGAACTTTTGGCAGATAATTTACCACTGAAATAAAAAAGAGTCAAAAGAAAGAATAGTTTGCTATGTGTCAATAATAACATGAATCATAGTAGGAGTGAGGTTTTTTTGAGCAAAATTTATGCTGCCATCCTCAACACATGTACACAGGTGCACGCGCACACACACACACACACACACACACACACACACACACACACACACACATTTGTATGCAAAACTGGGATAAATAATGCTTCACCACTCTTGGCTTTTCCAGTATTTTTCAAGGCAAATTTCTCAGACTTGGTGGGGGGGGGGGGGGACTGTTGCAAATGTTTAAAATTGGAACGGTTGTTTTAAGCAAACATAGTCTTGTGCTTCTCATAGCAGAGAAATTTAGCCCACCAGGAAGGAAAACTACAAAACAGACCAACCCACGTCAGGTAAAACATGTGACCATGGTCTCCGTACATCAACCTTCCCTCTCATCATGTACTCATGGGCTGCTTGCCTCAGCTAATGTTTCAAGGAAAGAGAACTACAGCACAGAAAACATGAAAACCATGTCAAGAGAACATCCAGATGTCGAGTAGTTGTGATCTGTAATACTGCTTATGATGAACAGTAATAACCAAACAATGAAAACTGAAATCGTTTTCCTCGGGAAAACGACTACTGGTACTACACTGAGCAGAGAGGAAAGACGCGAGGCTGAGAGGGAAAGACGTTCAGCCCTGTATCCCGTCTCCATGGAGAAACCAGGCCGGAAGCTGACCGGGCTTTTGAGTAGGGAGGACTGCCAATCTGCCTGCTGAGGGAGCAGTCCCAGAATACGAGGGAAAGGTGGAGGCAGACTAGCGGCTTACTCATACGCCAAACCTGCCGTCTCCAAAGCTGAAGACTTTAACTGAATGGCCCTTTCAAGTGCAATGGAGTTCAGATACCTTACACAATTAACCATCGAAATGGAAGAACTTTTCTCTATTTAATTTCTGTAGGGACAGGTCTGTCTGAGCACTCCCCATAGCTGAGGGGGAGCAGAATTGATTTGTTAGTCTTTTGGCAATTGAGAAATCTTAACCTCGGAGTTTTAGCTATAAAAGTTTTGTTCACTAGCAATTGAACCTAAACTGGAACACTTTCAAAGGAGTGCTGAGTCACCCAAGAAATCTGTGGTATTAAGAGAGAGACAAGTGTAGCCCAAAGCTTTAGTTCACACTAGGCATCTTCACTGTAAGAAAGTCACCTGGTTAAGAACCAGTCACACCTTAGCATGACATGTGTTTTCAACTTCAGTTGAGTTAAGCAGCACAGAGCAGAGTAACAAGAATTAATGCCTATACCTATTTATTACGTTTTATGTGTGCATGCCATGTTCAATGTAGGCAAATATTGCTGATTTCATTACTATGGGGTGAAATGTGCAAAAATAAGCCCTGGCAGGCAGACAAGAGAAATGTGCAGACAGTGGTGGAATGTATAAGAAAGAGTTAAACTTTTCTATCAGCAAAATAATGTTAAATAATTCAAATCTAAACAAAATCAATATACTGATACTGTTCACCCTTCAGATAACAAAATTATTTGGCTATAAAAACTAAGCATTCTTATTTTCCTGTTGTGAATGTAGTTTTGTCTTAAAAATATTAATTAAAAATATTCTCAAATAAGGGCAAGTAAAATCAGGTTCACTTTTGTGTGTGTGTGTGTGTGTGTGTGTGTGTGTGTGTGTGTGTGTGTGTGTGTGATAAGAAACAACGCTTTCCTTCTCAGAAGGCAAATGAAATGAAAAATTAGTGATGATGGAGAGAAGAGTCAACAAAATGTTTTGGAATTCTGACACTGTAAAGCCGAACTTACTGAAGAGTTGATTTTTGCACAATTGTCATAGGAAGTGAAAGCTGCCACTACTTCTGGTGAGTCAAGGCAATGCACAGAGCGTCACCTTCAGGTCACCTGGGTTCCAGGTCTGTGTGAGCTGTTTGTGACCCATCTCTGGAGTCTGTTAATACAAGGCAGCTCTCTGGGGCAGCCGTGGGCTCCTATGTTGTACTATGGATTATGACTCATAATGTCATCTAGATCTTCAGTGTAGAGCTAATTCATCTTCTTTATCTTCTATGATTCTCCCAGAATCCCTGGCATGCACAGCCAAAATTTTTAATTTTCAGAAAGAATGAATCAGTCACTTGGAAGTGAGAGCTGGCGGATACAGTGTCAACATTTTCACTCATGCTGCAAGCCCAGAGGCTTCTCCGAGCAGGACAGGGGTTGGCGATCAGTTGGACAGTGCCTTATCCTAGCAGGCAGGGGGTGGCGATCAGTAGTTATTTGTATCACAAGTAAGAGAAAGGATCTTTCAGAGTATCAGGTAAACTCACATACTTTTCCTGTTGGGATTTTGGTGTTTGTAGATAGGGTTAAACCTAATTGCAAAGATCCGAAAGTGTCAAGCAGCAAGGCTCTTTGTAAGGGAGATAGCTAAGAACTATTTCTTTACTCCCTTCCAAACTGTCAGACACACAGTGGAGATCTGGCCACGTGCAGTCACAAACTTACACAGGTAATCTGCCTCCTAATGCCAGCGCTCTGACCCCACACCAGAGCAGATAGGGCCTGTTCTCTGCAGCCAGAGAGCAGCCACTCCAGAAGGCCAGGCTCCCATCTGCTCCACAAGTAAGCTACTGGCTGAGGAAAAACAAACTCCTGAAGCCTCTACTAAGGCTTCTTTTCTCTCTGGTGCTAAAAGCCTGAATAATATCAGTGTGTCCGCCTGCTTTCAAGCCTCTGTGGAAACGTCCACAGGAAATCCAAATAAAAATCCAATACTATTTCACATTGTATATTATGAAAAATTTACCTCCAGATACCTGTGTGAAAAGTCACAAATTCAAACAAGTGGCTTTATTATCACTTTTGGGTTTTGTCATGATAAAATGTGGTGCTAAAAATATGACAACTCATGTCACTTTAGCTATGGGCTAGGTCATTTGAGTTAGCTAATGATTTCTGCATCATATAAGACAAACAAATCAAGAAAGAACTCATTGGAAAGCAGTTACTGCAGAAATGCACTGCGGGAGGCCCCAGCTGAAAGTCTGCTGACGTGCTTTCCTAACGTACAAGGTACTAAACTACTTGGCTCAGATGGTCATTGAGGAAACGTCCGGCCGGGCATAGGGTGAAGACACACTTTCTCACTTAGTGCACTCTGGGCTCCCAGGTAACTTGCATCAGACACAAGTGAATGAAAGCTCTCAAATAAGCGATTTTATTCCTATCCATGATTGCAGACATTTACAAAACCATAACATCTGAGTTCACCTTAAAAAATAACTTATATAAAGCAGTGATATACACAGCACAAAATAGTTCAGGGAGGGGCAGGAGCAACCTTTAATAATTAAAATGTAAACGTGAAAAAAAGGATGGAATAAAAGTCCCTACTTACTTCTACTAAGATGTCATGTGATAATATCTTACAATGTCCTGTGGGTCAATGCATGTATGCGTATATGTGCATATAGATCTGCATATACGATACATTCTCTTTCCCACACATATACATACACAGATGATTATTTGCAGTTCAGTTTAGGGCAATTCTAATGTGCCACTCCGTACAGTTGTTTGAATCACATTTGGACCCGCTTTCTTCACAAAATGGGGAGAGCAGGAGCTAAAAGGTTGGTTTGGTTGACTGGGATTCCTTTAACCGTACACTGATGAGCAGTTTTCTTCCGTAGTAGTTCTGTGAAGGGCTGACTCACGATGCTTTTCATGAGGAGACTTGGTAATGGATCACACACTCATGGTCATGCTGGGGGAGTACTACAAGGACAGAAGAATCCATTGGTTAACAGTGATCCTGCCACAGGTCAGTGTGGTTCAACTTAGTACAGAAGGATAAAACATGACTTTTAGTTTCTATGAACATTTATGCATACACCTTTAACCTCAGGACAAAAGGAACCATATATAACAAGAGGGGTTTGTATAGCTTTTCTTAGTTGTGAAATTTTAAACTATTTCCTCTACCAAGTCTGATTCTTCCCCAGGACCTAGATAATCATCCAGTCCCTCAGACACCCCTTGCAGCCAGATGAGGGTTTTGCAGACAGTCTTCTCACTCTTTTAACAGCCTTTATGACAGTACCCAGGAGTTTGCGGATGATTAAACACATAATCCTTAAACTATAGACTTGATTAGACACACAGAAAGTGCTCAGTACTGAACAGTGTAAGGAAACACAGAGACAGCCAGCTTTGTAGAGTCTCATGGGAGGGAACACCAGATGCTCCAGTGTGCACCAGCATAGAGCCCCTCCCCCAACCCAGGGTTAGTTCACTGCAGGAAACAGCAGGGACTCAGCTTTACAGTATGATGAGGATGACATGACGTAGGGTGGAAATTTAGAACAACATTACTGACTTCAATTTACTTCAATGTGAATCACCACATGCAGCTAAAGGCTGCCGTCATGGATGGCATAGCTCTGGAGCTTCTGAGTCAAGACAAGCACCTTTTGTAAATGGTAGGGGGGTCTACACATGGAAATGGTTTCCACGTGAATATAAAAACGTGGACCTTGGAATATCCTAATGCTTGATGGAAAATCTGCAAAAACCACTTCAAAGGGTGATTTCTTTCAATGTTCTACTAATGACTATGTCTCAGGATGAGAGGTAGATGAAGTCCAAAGGACGGGTTCCACACTGCAGAATCCATTGACGAATTGTGACTATGTGGGCAGTGGGATGTGACTTTTCACAAAAGAAGAGGAAAATTGTGCTGGAAGAACCCCAGGTCAGTTGGGATGTATGGTAGGCACAGCTGAGGTCCAGGTGAACTCAAGTGGTAAGAGGCCCCAGGTAAGCATTACCTGGGACAGGGGCTTGGTCCTCTGAACCACAAGTTATTAGGATGTAAGCCCCCAAGTGCACTGTTCTGAGCAAATATAGAGAACAAGGTAGAGGAGGAGGAGGAGGCTGGGAAAAGGGTGGCTGGACCACAGGAGGGGGCTGTTAATTTTTTGAACACTGCTCACACCAAGCAGAATCTATTTGTCCCTGAATAGCTGAGCTCTGTATGGTACAAGGAAGGAAAGGTAGTTTACTAGTTCTGACTCCTATGTGGATAACAGGGAACACTGAGCAATGAAAAGGATGGAAAAAAGGAAATGATGTAACTGTTTATAATCTCAAAGAATAGAAAAATAAAAATGCATTCTAACCCAGAAAGAAAGGCAAGATGGAAAATACAAATCAAAAGCAAATCAATGGCCCTGTTTGCCATCATATGTAAGGAGTGCTTGGAGCCACCCTGTGCTGAAAAGGAAACATCCAATACCATAGCAACGTGACAAAGTTTCACATCACCATGCTGCAACTTATTACCCTCTGCCTGGGACTAAATATACTTAGTCACACAATATATTATAACTATATAAACTATAGAATACAGTTATATTCAGAAACCAGGACAAGCAATAAGAAAAGAGGAAAATGCATCTCTACAGAAAAATGGGTGCAGAGAAATTTAATCCACGCTTTCCGTACTCCTTGTAGAACTGAGAATGCCTTTCTGTGGTTCAACAGAACCTATGACGATGGCACTTTCTACTCTGTTCCAGCCAGTACAACAAGCTCCATATACAAGTGGCTTCTAAGTTCTTGAAATGTAGCCATTGAAGATTCAGCAGTGAAAATTTCCATGTTTCACTTGAATCACATATTTAAATTGCATGGCCAGATCACCAGCATTATCTCTGAGAGCTGCTGGGGCAGTGACCTAAAGCAAGGTAGGATGGTTCCCTTCAGAGTCTCACAGGAAATGCTTCCGACAGTCTCTGGGACTCCAGAGACCCTCCCATTGAATGTGCGGCTCAGGCAATCTGGATTTAAGATGTCTGGAATCCTTTCTCCCTAAGTATCATCCAGCTCATTCATATATCTCATAACACTAGGAAGCTCATAAAATACTTTTCATTCTAATGTATACTGTCCAATGATGTACATGTGCACATGCTCTGTTGTCAAGTGTTTTAGTAGCTGCTATTATCCCTTAACACTAGTCGTTGTTAAAATGTGGTAGATCAAATGCCTTGAGAAAAATCTCACAGAAAAGTAAAATACTGTTGATACATCAGGGAGTCAGAAGAAGTCGCTTTGCCCGTAACAGAAACTGAGGAGAAAAAATTCGGTGCAGAGAAACTGAGGGTCAGGGCCAGTCAGAAAGGGCCAAAGCATCAGCTCCAGGAAAGCAAACTCAGAGTCTACCAGACTCTAATGAAGTGTAATTTCTGAGTAATGCACGCAGCTACAGAGTGACATGTCACTGTCGGGCACAGAACATTGGGATGCACTGGTGCCCGGGCGTCCCCAGGCCACGCGTCACATGCTCCTGAAGGCTGTGGACTGCTCACTGTCAGTTTCTATTATCAAAATCATTTCAAGAAAATGAAACTACGGAAAGTTATAAAGTTCTAGGAAGCCTCCCAGAATGCAAGCAAAGAGGAGTATTTCCACGGATCACACTCCAGAGTACTGAAGGGGTGGCTCACATTTTCCCAGAAGGAAGAGTGAGCGGTAAATGGACTGCCACGTTGAGAGACACACACTCCTCCTGGTGTCCGGTGCTGACTCATATCAGCGTTTCTGCTGGTACATCCATACACAACGAGACACTGTGATATTTATATCCAACGCTGTGATATCAGGTCGTACTGTTTGGAACTGCTCAACTAGTCTGGTTCTCCTCAGAGAATAAAATGACCCGTTAGCTACTGACGGCACTCTTGTTTGGCTTAGGAAAAAAATCAAAAGGTATTATTTTAAAAATATGCCTATGTCATCTATTTTTGTAAAGTATATTTTGAGATAGCATGTCCTAATATGAACTTGTGGAGTCTCCTCCTTATCACCTAATATTCCACAGACTCTGTTAGATGCAGTCATTAAGTCTCCTGAAGGACAAAAGAAACAGGGTCTAGTTCTGCTCCCCGTATACCGTGAAATAACGCAATGTGTGAGTTACCACCTAAGGAACTCGGGCTCACACAGTTTCCTGATGATAGCAGGAGACAGTGGAGAGAGAGGAGGTGGGAGTCTTGTCTGCCAGCCTGTCACCGCTCAGTACCGCCATTCTAATAACACCCCCCTCATCTGATCAGACAATCGTCATGTGCAAACAATTAACGCAACCAATTAATTCAATCGCTTTCTTTTGAATCATTTTTGTATCTGCACCATCAAAACCAAACATTTACAGCATGTGAACACTAGGGGGCAGCTTTGTTTCTTGGAAGAAGGAGCCTTGTTTTGTTGCTTTGGCTCAGCCAAGCATGCGTGCAGCGCTGGCTCTGTGGATGTAGGCGTTGTTTTTGTCTTGATGTAATGAAATGAAGTAGCATGTAGGGAGAGAGCGGGATAACATCTAGTCTACAGCAAGCACTAAGCAGTTGTTTTTTCTCTCTGGACTTCTGGTTTAACCGCTAGGGAAGGTGATAAATCCTCAAGGGGCAGGCTGCTCAAGCACATGTGCCTTCCTTTCAGGGTCATATGCCTTAAGAATCTAGGCTCTGCACACTTGTTTCCTGGGGTTTTGAATTCACTCAACAGTTGTGCGTTTTCTTGGTTACAGTAGATCTGAAGTTACTGGAGACATCAAGCTCTGTCTTCTTGACTCCCACGTTCATCAGCACAGAACCTCTCCTTTCACATCCATCCTACTTTAATACATATAAACAACATGTGTGGTAATACATCATGCAGCACCAGTACACCCAGTGGGCTTAAAACAGAGCAAAGGAGCTGGCAGGGGAGAGTGGGGATGGGGCAGGTTTGATCAAAACACATTATATGCATGTTTGAAATTCTTACTCAGTAAACTGTGGTAACACAAAGAAAGCCACAGATAACACCCACTGCAGCTCCAGCAAGTGGACTCCCCTCACTGGACAGACCAGAGGCCTTTGAATTACCCAATTTATATCGACCCCAGAATTTATTTAAAACTATTTTAATTTAAAAAGTGACACAACAATTACTTACATTTATGGAGTACCATGTAATATTTTGATGATATATTATAGACTATTCAAATGAGGCTAAACATAGCTATGTCCTTAAATGATGCCATGTTTCTGCAGTGAAACGTTAAAGCCCTTCCTCCTGGCCGTTGAGAGACAGAGCATACACTGTCAATCTCTCCATGTTCTGCAACTCCTTGTTTCCCTTAAACTTAGCTCAGCCTTTCCTGACCCATCCCACTGGGCTCTGGCTTCCTGCAACCCAGAGTCACAAACTATGGCTTGTGACTCCAGGTAGGGTCATGTAACCAAATGTGTGTATGTGGGGCGGGGGGAGGGGAGTGAGCAACAGTTAAAATGGTTCTGAATATATAACCAAAAATTAATGCAAAATCAAAAATCAAACATGTAACGGACGTCAAGTACCTCCTGGCAGTGTTTAGGCACGATGCACTGTGAAGCGTCACTGAAGCCTTGGTTTGGAACAGTCAGGGGGAATTTTCAGTGCATGTGGCATTCATGCTAGCCAGGGCCAGCAGCTCAGCGCAGAGGGAGGACGCTCTACATTCTCAACTGTTTTTGCCATATACACAAAGTTTTCTGCTCTTATAGAAATAATAATTTAATTATGGGAAACAAAAACTTTCTATCTTCTCCTCCAGTCATCCACTAGCATGGAAGTATCAAATTAGTTTATCTTAGGGTAGTAATCCCATAGGAAAATGTCTTAATTTAAAAAATTGCTGTTTGAGTTGGTGACCTCTGGTTGCTAAAAAGTGATTAAATGGACTTTTTCTTGATTTTGACATCAATTTATGAAATGGTCCTAAACATTCTTCAGCTATCTTATATCATATATTTATGTGAAGTACATTCTTAGCATTGATGATTATAGGATAAAAATATCATTCAACTCTGAAAATATGAAGGTGTTCTGTGTCCTGTAATAACAAACATCAACCATAACTCCTTATGCAAACACATAAAACAGCACTTAGGAGGCAAAGCCAGACGATCTCTGTGAGTTTGAGGCCAATCTGGTCTACAGAGCAGCTCCAGGCCAGCCAGAACTACATAGAGCGGCCCTATCTCAAATAAGCAAACAAACAACCACGTAAGAACATTCATTTCAACATATCTTGTCCTTAATAAATTGTAAAAAGACATGTGCACACCAAAGAATTGTTTTAAAATGCATTTCTTTATGATTTATTACCAGTAAGTACTTGACTTACAAGTCTGGTTTATACCTGTAAATAGGGCTGCACACACATTACGGTCTCATGCCGGACGTTTAAGAGGCCCATCATAGCCGGCTTCTGAGGAAGACTTTCCCAGACCAACAGTGTTTAGATTCCGTGTATGAGTGAGGCCACACAGTGTTGTCTTTCTGTACCTCTCTTCTGTAACCAAACACACTGTCCTCCAGTTTGGTCAAAGTTGTTGAAATAACAAGACTGTGTGTTCTGGAATGGAGCGGCAAGCACTCTACTACACAGATGCTCTCTTTTCAGTCCCTTCTTCGGTGTTGATGGTTACTGTAGTATGTCTGTGTATATGTCTGACATACAAGCTAGTCACGGAAACATCTGTTGGTGGAACTGCACTCGTAAGGACAGACATGGTATCCTCCTCACTTTAGAAGGCTTGGTTTCTTACTCTAAAACTCTGCAAACACAGTAGATGAACTGAACTGACTCACCATACACCTCACCACATTACAATATGTCACTGCTGGAAGAATTCAACAGAAGGAAATAAATGTCTCCTATTAGATACAGTGAGCATTGAAGATGACCGATCTGTCCACGTTCCTGAGCTAAACCAGTGACCAAATTTCTAAAAAAATAATTCCTGGAATCTCCTATGTGACTAAACCATGTGGAGTGTCCTGCTTTCCCCTGCTCACTCATTGACAGCTAAGCTTTCTCGTATAATTTTATCTATCTTCTTTGTCCTCACCAAGCATATAAATATAGCAAACTAGCAGAAAGAAAACTTTTTATAGTCTAAACTCAGGGGCAGCCTTGTTTCTAGTGGAGGCTATCGGTAAAGCCAAAAGCAAAAGAATCCACAGACCATCATCCACCCCCGGGCTCCACGTGTGGCGCCCGTCACTCTGCACTAAAGTAGACCGCTCTTAGCCACGGCTTCAATCACTGGTGGTGGTATCTCTGGCAAAGGCTGTCGGGAGCATGGCAGCAGAACTGCCTCTGCCCCTCCCATTGCCGACAGACCCACATGTGTGGAACATGGGTCACGTGGGCTCTGCAACAGCTTGTTCTATAACCCAATTCAGTGGCTCCAGCAGAGAGCGACCCTTGCCATCACTAATTGGGCCTTTTTATCCACATACCCCCAGCCTGACTCCCAGAAATCTTGAGTCCATTGACTTTTGAGGAGACTCTTGGAAACTTAAAAAATTCCTTGAGTGTTTCTAGAGTTAAATACCAGTTAAAAACCATTGCATTACATAGTAGCTCTTCGAGAAAGGCACGATCTTGTCTCTTTGGTCCTTTCAGTGTCTAGCACACTGCCTTGATATCAGTGCTTAGGAACTGTTCGCTAGATAAACAAATGAACTTTACAGCTTCACTTTTTGTCCTGTTTACATCTGTGAAGATAACCTATAACCCCAGAAGACCACTTTAAAAATGCCATGGGTGTCAAGCTCAGGCTGACAGACTACCCATGTGACCTGCACTGCAGCAAAGCCTGTGTGAAGCCACAATACATGTAGATTAGTGTCACAGTCTTAGGATGACATTTTGCGAGAAGGTAGGACACACCAAAGAGGCAAGCTGCCTTCCGTTTGATCTATAACATGGATGTTCCCGACAAGAAAATTAGTATTATGGTTTTGGTAATTGTACATAAATAAAAGGTTTCTTAGAACCCTTTGTCGTAAGACTGCACTTGAAGATTCTTCTGACCTGTAGAAGATCAACCAATCGAACACTTCGTAAACATCAGTAATAACAACTGTAAGTATTTTTACTGAGAGCACAATAACACAGTCAAGGCAATACTTACACTCTCACTCTGAAAAGGGTTTAAGAAATTTCCCCCCATTTCACCGTCGTCTCTTGGGGTGCCCGGCTGGTTACTCAGACTCATATTATTGGGAGAATTCTGTAAACAAGATTCAGAAAAGAAGTCACTGTTGAAGATTTTCATTTTCCTCCTGCACTGTAGCTCCAAACACTGAATGGACAGCGGCCGTGCTGTACTTTGGACAAGGCAGATGGGATGCTAACTGGCTTCTTCCTCATCCTCTACCTCACCCTCTGCACCAGAACAAGTGTTAATGCTTTTGCAAATGAAAGTCTGAGAACAAGCAAAACCCTGAATAAACTATGATAACTATTTTCTTCCTCCCAGAATCACTGTTTATTCAATTCCTCACTCTCAATTTATAGAGTTTCTAGAATTCTAGAGTTAAAAACCAACCAACCAAACAAACAAACAAAACAACAATAACAAAAACCCCCAACTTTCCCAGTAGGAGGCTGATGAAGAGAGCTACCCATGGATAAGGCATGATAGAGGCTAACTCCCTTAGTAATTGTACTAATCAAACTTTGAAAGGTCACTGCTTTAGTAGACATTTCCTTTAATTCTTTGTGAACTTTGGAGATAATACTACTTCAATTATTTTGATGTGAGTCATAAGGAAGAGAGACTGTTAACAAGAGAGACGCCTTAGGACCAGAAAACTCACTTTCAGAGTTCCACTGAAGTAACATCCCCATTAGTTTAAAAAGACAGATCCTGTGCAAGTTTCTCAGAGACAAAGCAGCTGCTATTAGCCAGCACCACGAGGTTAGCAGGGCCCTGTAAACACCCTGTTTAAGTTTGCTCACCTTATCTTTACCTCACAGGGTACTTTGGACTAGACACAGTACCTGGCAGTCCAGGCCAATAGGAAACACAGAGTGGCATATAAATCATGTTTATACTGCCCTGCAATGGGGACTGAAGGAAGCATTTCAAGTTATAATTTATCAGGTTTAAGAAATTCAGGACCAAACACTTTGTTATTTTAAATGGAAGAAAGATTTCTAGATTGCTTTTGCCCTAAACCACATGGCATATTATTTCAGTTTGGAAATTTTTTTTAAAGAAAATTACTTAGATTTTGATTGACTACAACAAGACCTGTCACAAACACAAAGTTTTATGAATGAGTTCCTAAAAGGATGTGTGCTTTTTACATCTATGGTTGACCTGTGGAGCAGAGGCAGGCAGATGAGCTGCTGTAAATGCAGCTCCTACCTTGTCTCTCTGTCCCCTGCAGGGAGGATCTGGGAGCAAGGGTCCTCTGAAGCCCACAGGAGTTCTATATGCCCAGGGCTGAGAGCCACACTTCCAGAGCAGAAAGAGAATTCTATCGTTTCTGGTTAGCTTTTTCTTCAAAATGCTAGTTACCCAAGAATAAAGAGAAGCAAGTGCACTCTGAAGTCAACCTGACAACTTCATTTCCTTTAAATTTTTTATAAAATGCATCACCTTAGATTCATTAGTTATTAGAGCTGCTAATTCAGTAACAAATTGTGCTTTGAAAATAGGAATGACAATGTGATGGTCTGAATGAGAACGGCCCTATAGGCTCAGATATCTGAATACTTGGTCCCCAGTTGGTGGAATGGTTTATAAAGGATAAGGAGGTGTGGCCTCATGGGAGGAAGATTGGCATCACTCGGGGTGGGCTTTAAGTCCATGCTAGCTACTGCTCTAGTGCTATCCTGCCTGTCTGCTGCCTTGCTCCCACCACATCATGGCCATGGACTCTACCCCCTTTGAACAATGGGCCCCAAATTAAACACTGTCTTTTATAAGCTTCCTTGGTCATAGAGACCATCATAGCCATTGAAAAGTAACTAAGACACTGATTTAGTTCAAAAAAGAAAACCAAACTTTGTGTGAGGATTTTCACTGAACATTTGGGGTGATTAGATCTGGGTTGTACTTTTTCACATATCATTTTTTATTCTAAAAGTTTAGCTAACTTCAAGCCTGATTTCTGACTTAAAGTATTGGTTTTATTTCACTTAGTTAGTTAATTAGTATTTTTAGTGCTGATTTGAATCTATGGGTTTGTATATGCTAGGTAAATGCTCTATCATTTAGCTACACCTCCAGACTCAAGGTATTGATCTGATAATATTTAGAATTAAAAATAACACTGATTATTTTTTTATGAACAACACTATGTTACTATTTCTGTTTTCTATGCAATCTCTTCGTAGCACGGTGGCTCAAACTCATGCTTTTTTAAAGAGGGGTGGGGTATATAAGTAAGTTGAAAGGAATTTTAAAAGAATACAACATAAATCAGGGCCGTATTAGATCTTTGAAACCCATTTCTTCTAGTCACTGGATCATGTTTGAAAATACTAAAATGATAAGGACAAAATATGTTGTTTAGTTTTTACCCGAAGTATTATCTGCAAAGGTTGTAATATGACATGGCTCCTTCAATGTGGAGGGTTAAAGACACTGAGCTGCACAGAACCACAGTCACAAGATGAAGACTCAGGCAAACAGGCACCTGGCACCTGAACCTGGCAGGGAACTGTGTGACGCTTCGCTTAGCTATGGCCACATCTGTGGGCAGCGTCTCCAGTAGAATTCATCACCGAGGCAAGATTACCACGCAGAAAGGTACTTAGAATGACCAGAAAGCACAACTGTTGGAGCACATAATTAGGGACTAGTATGACAGGAAGAGTTCAGGAAAGGTTATTTTTAGCTGTTTTAACCATGTCGGTGACATTTTTTTAATTTCAGTGGATAGGTATGTTGTGTATTTCTGCTCTAAGATTTAGCTTTAAAATATAATTCAGATTTTATTGAGCCCATATTCAAGGGATTTATTACATTACACTTAGCCGGGCTGTGGTGGCACATGTCTTTATCCCAGTACTTGGGAGGCAGAGGCAGGAGGATCTCTGTGAGTTTGAGGCCAGCCTGGTCTACAAAGAGTTCCAGAACAGCCAGGGCTACAGAGAAACCCTGTCTCGAAAAAACCAAAAACAACAGAACAACAACAAAAATCACACACACACACTTCCTCTGGCTAAACGTTTACCTCTCTTGAACTTTGTAGTCTCCACTTCATTTTTTTTTTGTTGTTGTTTTTTTCGAGACAGGGTTTCTCTGTGTAGCTTTGCGCCTTTCCTGGAACTCGCTTTGGAGACCAGGCTGGCCTCGAACTCACAGAGATCCGCCTGCCTCTGCCTCCCGAGTGCTGGGATTAAAGGCGTGTGCCACCACCGCCCCGGCATCCACTTAATTTTTAAAAATGTTTATTAGTATTAGTGTGTGTGTGTGTGTGTGTGTGTGTGTGTGTGTGTGTGTGTATGTGTGCTGTGTGTGCACATGTATGTGGGCATGTGTGCTATGAGAATATGTGACGTGGGCATGTGTGTTGTGGGCGTGTGTGCCGTGGGCATGTGTGTTGTGGGCGTGTGTGCCGTGGGCGTGTGTGTGGAGGGCATGTGTGCCACGGGCATGTGTGCTGTGAGTATGTGTGCTGTGGGCATGTGTGTCGTGGGCATGTGTGTTGTGAGCATGTGTGCCATGGGCATGTGTGTTGTGGGCATGTGTGCCGTGGGCATGTGTGCTGTGGCACGCAGATGTCAGATACAACTTCAAGGAGTCACTTCTCACTCCGCCTCTACCTGAGTTCTGGGGGTCAAGCACAGGTTTCTGGGCTCACACTGCAGGTGCCTTCACCTGCCGAGCCATTTAGCTGTCCAGTCTTCAGTTTTTATCTTTTAAGTATTTTTTTCAAATCCTTTCTTAATTAGTAAGTTATTGTTTCTTCTATTCTCCAAACACGTGACCCAAACTTTTTAAGACTTTTTCCAGCTTTGTCTGCTCAGTTCCACAGAGCTTCTTAGGGGCAGCGACCTCACATTTGCTTATCTTTGGGGTCACAGGCCAGCAGGCTGCCTTGGCACATCGTTCTTCAGTGAAAGAAAGAATCCCCCTCTTTTTTTCCTTCTCACTGTTCACATGTCAAGACTCAGGCCACATCATATAGTCAACTAATGCTTAGGCATTAAGCAAAAGAACTAAAAGTTCATTAAGCAAGTTACTAGCATTGGATGATGTAAAAACTAGTATTTAATTCATCATTATAATTCTCTTTAAAAACATTCAAAGTGTTTTATAAGTTATAAAGCCCTTATCCCTATAGAATTTTGCTTATGTCTGTTTAGTATAAAAGTTATAGTTTATTAATGCAAGTTTTAGGAAGATGTCCCTATAGCAATTAAGACATTCCAAGTTTTATGTTCAGAACCATCTCTAAATACAAGAACACACTCCTCAAATGCGACCTTAACGTCTCACTGCTAACTAAGGAGAGTTCAGCCACTCCCATCATGGCAGGTCCTCACGTCTGAAAGGGCACCTCCCACATGGACAGCTGTAGTACAATCACACAGGGCCTCTTGCTTTGGAAACAGACTTTGTGAATATCATTTCTCACAGAGGTAAATTAGTACTTATTATAAATAAATGCTTTCCTAGAATATCTCTCTGATTGTTTCCAAACACCTCCATCCAAGTATCCACAGACCTTTATGGCAACTAGACACTCCAGGTGAATGTCAGAACTCCAGTTTACAATGTTTTAGGGCCAGAAGTCTTAGTTTAAACTGTTTTACATTTCAGTTAACCTTACATTTTTTTTTGTGGTGCCAGGAATTTTATATTGTTCTACAAATATAAATAGAATTGAAAACACAGTTGTCCTTCAGTGAATTTCTCTACTTACTGATCTAAAGCAGACTTTGAAGGGAATTATTTTAGTGTTAGCTAATTTTAGTTCTCATCAAACATTTTAAATATATTTGACTCTCAGAGAACTACTTTAATTTCATTACAACCTAGGAAGTATTTAGATGTTATTTTTAAAAAATATGTACAGCATTTTACCAAAAGATTAATTTTAGATACTCAAAATTATTGAAGGAGGAAAAATGCAGACACATTTGGTTTTCTACATGTATTAATATAATTTCCTTCTAATTACTTTCCTTCCATTTTGACTCCACATGCCAACAGCATCTAATGAAGGCTTGGAAGGCCAAGTTAACACACAAATGCAAAGTTCTTATATCATCTATACCAACTTCTCAGCAGTATCTACTGTCACATTGCTGTAGACACTTCACAAACTTCTACAACTTTTCCAAAGATCATCCAAACTGTCAGTCCAACTCACTATGTAGCATTGAACATGATTAAGTTGGCTATCATATTTTCCTTTCTTAAAGATTATGTATATTCATATTTTAATTGCTGAATGATCATATCTGAACTTCTACTTTCAAATTTTTATGGAAGAACAATATTTACAAAACTCATTTAGTACCCTTAGTGTTCCATGTGGAATAAGTGGAGATAAAAACATAGAATACACATTACTCACCTTGGAAATACTGTCCATATCTCCTGAGCCTGAAGCAAAACGTGAAAAGATAACCTTCATTAGGTAAGAGAGCATTTATAAATGGAAACTCCTGAAGGTGAGTGAGCTACCTCCACAGCAAAGAACTCTGCTGCTACTTCCCATCACCTGGACCCTAACAGCAGGAGCAGAGTCATGGCTACAGACCACTAGAGACCATTAGAGAGATCATCTACATGTTCAGATCTTTATCTTTTAATGAAAATGATGTTATAAATCTGATAAAATTTAAAATAGACATTTCTAAGAATATCTGACAATATTCTGAACAGTATTTTACTACAATATTCAAAAGTATTTTTACTAATATTAAAAATAGCACTCAATATACACAATAGAAACTAAATATATCTTCAAGATGTATTACATTTTAATTTTGATTCCTGAGAGATATAGGCGATGGGATTATACACTAATTAGCAATAATCATAACTTTGCCACAATATCAGTTTTATTTGAACTATTTTATTCTCTACAATTAATCTTAGTGTAAAATATTGCATTTTAATAGCAGTATTTATTGGTCAGCAAAAATAAAGGCTTAGCATGACTTGATTGTGAGTAAAAAGGTACAGCATTGTTACACACTGAGTGTACACATGCTATACTGTTACATGTGAATATGTAGACTAATGTTCACTACAGAATGTAAGGAGTTAGTTGTCAACTGTTGTGAAACTTCTAGAAGCTGATTCTAGTAGTACTGTAATCAAAGGCCTTCTAACTATTTGACTAATTCTACAACTTAGCAGGCTGAGAGTATTTTTGCAATATCTTGAAAAAATCAAATCCTATAGCAGTACTGTCAAACTGAACACTTTGTGATGGTGTGTATGTTTCTCTGTGGTGTCCTTTATGGTAGCTCGTAGTATGTGTGGCTGCTGTACACACGGTATGTGCAGTGTGCCTGAGGAGTTGAACGTTAAATTCTCTCTGCCTTTAAATTAAATAGTTACACATGACTATTGGCTGTAATAATCAGACACCGTGTCAACCAAAATAAAATGGATCAAAACTTTGAAACCTACAAAAAATAAATATGGATCCTTACAAGCACAAAAGTCTATTGATGCATTGCAAAGAATTTTGAATCACTTAGTACAGACTTTCAGAGAATCGAGGGACATGTTTCTGACCTTGAGTATGGGGATTTCATTATAAGGTAGGCAGTATAAGCATGGTTGGGCTAACGTGAGAGGCTCCTTTACAAGCCATGGCACCACTGTTAGTTAGCTCTCGGGTTATCTTTTGATCACAAGCACATCCTTTTTATACCTTCCATCCATGAGCATGGTGTGTCGAGACCCGAGTAGTTTTACTTTTCTCTCTGTCTCATCATTTTAAGTATTTTATTTGCCTTACGGACACTGGGCTTCATCGGCTAAGAGAGTGCCATACGTGAGGCACACTGCTAACTACTGCTTTACGTGAGATCAGCTCTCTCCTGAAGGCAGGTGCACAGCATGGTCTCATCAGGGAATTATTAGTATTATCAGAGTATGGCTACTAATTTTATTTAAAATGAGGCAAACATTAAAAATACACAACTGAATTAAGGAATTATTACAGAGACCTAGTTTCTCTATATTATGTTCACAGACTGGAGACAAAAACATCTGTGGGAAGGACAGGAGCCCTCTGGGTTGGGCAGCATGGCACATGCTCAGTGGAATAGTCTCCTTCAGCCACAAGACACTTATGCTGTCGTAGACTGACATCAATACTTGTGGGGCAATCTGGACAGAACCAAACTCACACCCCTGACTTTCAAGCTTGGTGGGCCATAATACCCACTGTGTTGAACTAAAGTTTTAGTTTGAATTGATTCCACACACCTAATATAAAAGCCTTACCTAAAGAACCATTCATGTGGTGGGACTCCATCCCTCCTAGTCCACCCATGGGACCATCGGACCCAGGGCCCATTGGAAACTGTTTTAAAAAATGAAGAAAGTTATTGTGATTATACGGAAACTGATTTCAACATTATTTATTAACATTAGAAATTGCCCTGATTTACTTCCATGTGTAGAGACTTTTCAGAACACTTTTCAAGGTTGTGGATTCTTTAATTGTCTGTCCCACCTCTCTCATCTCTGTGTTCTGGATGCTCAGGCTAATCCTTTCGGTTTTTTTTTTTTCCTCATTGAGATAAGCCCAACTGGGAAGCATGGACATTCCATGCAAATGAGATGATCAGCATTCTCTCCTTGACGGTGACAAATGTCCTCTTACATGCCCAAGGTAGTTCTTGAGAAGCTGCTGATGCTACCGGCTCGTTATGAAGAATACTTCTGTTGAATCACGAAGCCAGTATCAACGCTCGCTCAGTTGGTGATGTATCACTGTTTGAATAGGTACAGGGAATGATCTCATCTTGCAGGTTAAATGCATTTAGCTACCTAGGGACAGCTGAACACTGCTAACTCTTTAGTCAGCTACGTTAGCTTACTGCAGACATTCTGCAGTAGCTCTGCTCACACTTGTAAAGCATCAGGATTGTTTCTTTTCAAGTACAATCTTAGTAGCAGCTGTGATGGGAAGTTCAAGGTCAGTGACCTTTCACCTCCTCTTCACTCCTCCAGAATGCTTCTGTGCCCATTTGAAGGCAGGTATCATCATCTTACGTTTGGAGGCAAGTACCTACTAAAGTTAGCATTTTCTTTTAAATGTTCCCAAGCTCAAATCACATTCCTATACATATGGATTGCAGCATTGATTACAGTGTGTGTAGACAGAGTGGTGACGGTTAAGAATCATACTGGCTTCCAAGACCATAACAGATTAAACAAGAAAGGAAGGGGAAGGGACAGGAAAAAGGGAAGGACAGATGGAGGAAGAAGACAGGCAGGCAGGCTAGGTGGCTTAGGGGGAAAACTATTCAGACGAGCCTGGATGCTAGCAGCTCACACACCTTCCCAGGAGGACAAGGCTGCTGCTTATGACTGGGTGTCTAAAAACACACAGACAGGTAGGAAAGATGCATCAGCAGGTAAAGGCACTTGTCATAAAAAACCTGAGCTCAATCCACAGGATTCACATAGTGGGTGGAGAGAACAGTCTACTCTAAGTTGTTCTCTGACCTGCACATGTGTGCCACAGCACACTCACTAGCATGAGTGTGCACACACACACACATAATAAGTGAATGCAACGAAATAAAAGCATTGGTCTTGTAGAAAATAACTTGCAATGTACACACACAACTGGAAAGTCAGGGACTGACTGAATAGAACATTCTTACTCAGCTTTTAAGAGCACAGTTTGGAGCTGGGCTGAGAAGTTAGACCAGTAAGCCTGTGGACGTCTGTGCTCTACTCTCTTCCCTGACTCTGCAACTTTAAAAGGCATTTAATGGTTTAAAAGACTAAGACTATAGGCATGGAGGTTTTAATTAGTTTACTGTACAATAAATGTATTTACTGACTTTTTTCCATTTTATTTACCCTATGTACTTATGTATAAGCATAACATTTATATCGATATTTAAATTTATTGCGAGTATTACTATACTATAGGCCAAATTTAAAACTCATATTTACATTAGGTCTGTTAGGCCCAGGAGGTACTGCATTCATTAAAGTATACATGTTGTCTCCAGAATTGGTTGAATCTGAAACAAAACATCACTTAATTAATATCTCTACCAAAGCCATCACAAAATAACCAAAGCTAATCTAGACACACATAGAAATTGACAGCTGGATACACAGCAGACACAGTCATGACCAACATCTGGAAACAAACACCTGGCTGTCACTTTCTGACCCAAACTGTACTGTTCTAAAGTCATAAATTAGGAACATAAGAGGAGCGAGCACCTCAGTGATTCAGGCCAACTGAACATTATGAGATATAAATAACCACAGTATATGTCTTTCATAAATCATGGATTATTTTTTACTTCATATGCAATGGCATATATATATACATATATACATATATACATACATACATATATATATATATATATATATATATATATATATATATATATATATATATAAAAGACAATTTTAAAAGTTCAAATCCAGTAGCTATTCAATCTTCAGGGTTTTCTTAGAAGTCCTATAGAGAAAAACTGAACTTGAGGATGAACCTGGAAGAATATACTGACTGAATTTCAGACGTGAGATCACAAGACTGGAAAAAGAAACTACCTTCCTTGAAGAAAATGCCAGACACGGCTATCAATTTTTTTCCTTTCCTTTTTTCTTCTGGCTGTGGCTGGCCTGTAACTCATTTGGTAGCCCAGGCTGGCCTTGAATTCACAGCAATCCTCCTGTCTCAATTTTCCAAGTATTGACTCACCACCCATGGCTTCCAGCAATTTTTTGATAACTTTCTTCAGTCCTTTTATTAAAATAACTGCAATGTATTCTCCATGAATATACGTAAGATTTTACACTATTCTAAAACTTATACTTCATGTCTACTAGCTAATTCTAATTAAATCTCCACATACATTTTTATGAAGTAAAACCCAGCATTAAAGCCAACAATTACTTTACATTGAGGAAATATTAGTTATAAAATAGTTTTCTATTTTCTTACAATTACAAAGTTTCCTTAGATGTATTATAATAATTATTTTGAAAATGATGAAGGGTTTGAAAAAAATGTTTTTTGTATTGATTCAAAAGAGAGGGTAAAATAATATGCTTTCTTATGGTAGTGACCAAAGAGAGACATAATTACTTCTGCCACTTGTGTGACTACTTACTAGACATTAATTAGCTTGTGATTTTAGTGTGTATCACTTAGAGTAAGCATGATATTATTGATTGGTCATTTATCAACAATGATATATGAATCTCAGTACTAGATCAACAATGATATATGAATCTCAGTACTAGATTTTACTTTTTTTTTTTTTTTGAGACAAGGTCTCACTGTAGCTCTAGCTGTTCTGGAACTCACTCTGTAAACCAGGCTGGTCTTGAACTCACAGAGAACCACCTGCCTCTGTCTCCCAAGTGCTGGTATTAAAGGTGTGCACTACTATGCCCGGCTAGATATTACTTTTTTTGTTTGTTTGTTTGTTTTTCGAGACAGTGTTTCTCTGTGTAGCTTTGCGCCTTTCCTGGAACTCGCTTTGGAGACCAGGCTGGCCTCGAACTCACAGAGATCTGCCTGCCTCTGCCACCCAAGTGCTGGGATTAAAGGCATGCGCCACCACCGCCAGGCTTTAGGTATTACTTCTAAGTGAATGCCTCATAGTAGTGAATGAACCAGATGCATCCCCTCAAGCTGCCCTTTGTTTTGAATACTAAGTGAAGTCCCAAGTTATTTTTGTGGCTATAACTTTTTCATGTCCTCATCTATGAAGTACTTCTGTCATGTAAGATCACTGATTCCTTCCTGCCTACCAGCAGCCTTGCCCATCTGCATATTTTCAATCCTTCTCCTGCCTGGCATCTTCTCACCAGTCCCACCTCCTAGAGTTCTTGTCACTATCTAAGACCCATTTATTTCCAGTATGAGTTTTCCCTGAGGTTTCTGAGCATGATCCCAACGATTACAGTGCGCCTTGTCTTTTCTCTCCTGCTCACACCTGGCTATCAAGAGTTCATCAGAAGGAAGGGGCTATGTCTTGCCTAGCTTGCATGCCTCAGACAACAAATTAGATTTATTGCATTTAATTTGTCTAGACAGTTCTATCACATTTCAGAAAATTTTGTATTTGTTTTTAAATATATGAAAACTTTAAATGGGTTTTATCTTTAACTTTTGGTGAAAGAAAAATGGACTACATATTTTAAATATGCAAGAGATGAATTTATCATTTTTAATACTAGTTGGAAATATAATTTCATCCAAAAGAAAGAAAACCATCAAAAGGAAGAAGGATGGTTGTATAGGAAATGCCTGACTCCTTTTGATTCACAGAAGAGCGTTACACTAAAGTACATCTATGGGCATGTGTCTTTTAGCCTGAGGACCCTGGCTCACTGTTAAAGGATGACTTGACAGAAGTGTGCGGACAAGGCCAGCGAGACAGAACGAAGCAGCGGTTAGATTCCTTATCCCTGCTATGCCCAGTGTGGCTTGAAGCTGGGCTCTAGTCTCCAGCCAAATGAGCACAAATCGCATGCCATCTCCACAAACCACACATTAACTTCACAATATGAGAATGAGATGCAGGGGAGGCAATCAGTTCATATAATTCAACTTTGATGGATTCTGCTTTTCAATGTGGACACTTTGAAAATAGAGATGATGATATTTTTATGGATAGAGAGAAAACAATAAATTTAAGGTAATATTTTGTATTACCAAATTTGGTTTTAAATAAAATGTAAAAAGCAAAATATTATTTACTGGAATTATTAACAATAATGACTTTTAAACTCCTATATATCTTAGAACTAAACCTAAATACTTAAGAACATTTGACTTCACAGTGAACCATAACTGAAATTATTTTTAATTACAAACACTTCAAATCTATGTTATTTCCAAGAAACACTGAAAGTTTTAGCTTATTTTCTGCTTTTACGATTTCAGTGATACATACCTATGTATAAATATACATGTGTGTACACATATATACACAGATACACACACACATGTCTATACAAAGCTGTGGGGTAGGAGAGGTAACTCAACTATTAAGAGCACACACTGGTCTCGCAGAGGACCTGAGCTCAGTTCCTAATATAAACATTAAAGGGCTCATGTAGTCGGAAGTTTTCCCAGTCCCGTCTGGCTCTGTGGTCCCTCAGCCACTTATAAAATAATCATTCAGAGGCTTATATTAATTACCAATTGTATGGTCTATATCAGGCCTCTTGCTAGCTAGCTCTTATATCTTAAATTAGCCCATTTCTATTAATCTATGCTTGCCACATGTTCCCTGGCTTACTGGTCGGTTGGCATGTTGTTTCTCCTTCAGTGGTGGCTGGCATCTCTCCTGCCTCTCTCTTCTCTTCCTGTCCATCTGCCTGGATTTCCCACCTGCCTCTAAGCTGCCTTGCCATACGCCAAACAGATTTATTTTTCAACCAATCAGAGCAACACATTTTCGCAGCATACAGAAAGATATCCCACAGTAGACTCACAATCATCTGTAACTCCAGCACCAGGGGATCTGAGGCTGCCTACCAAACTCCATGGGCACCCATACCCATGTGCTCATGCCCACACACAGGCATCCACAAGTGTATATAATTAAAATAAGCCATTAAAAGTAAATGGATAAAACTGTGATAATATTGTGCTGAATAATAAACACTTATTTTTCTCACAACTAAAAAAAATTGTTTTATGATTACTTCAGTAAAATTTTAATTACATCCTATCATATGCCTAAAATTGAATAATTTCACTACTATTGGGCTAGGAATGAAGACTAGTCTAACTATTGATAACAGTTAATGAGATAGTCTAACTTGTGTAGAATCTTGGATTGCATCTCTAATCATTTATAGTATTAGGACTATAGAGTCAATTCTTTTATTTAAAATGTGCATTGGTGTTTTGCCTGCACGAATCTGTCTGAGGATGTCGGGTCCTCTTAGAACTGAAGTTACAGATAGTTGTAAGCTGCCATGTGGGTCCTTTGGAAGAGCAGTCAGTGCTCTTAACCGCTGAGCCATGTCTCCAGCCCCCAAGTCAACTCGTAAGAACCATCTAACAGCCCTTGATACATGTTCCATAACTCGCTGGACCCTAGACAATTTAAATTCCAATCACTAGTCTCCAGACAAGCTTAATACTCTGTTAAAGTCTCAAGGAAAAAAAGGCTAATGCTACTTGAAATAATTATGCTGAATTATTAGGGATATAGTAAAATGTATCTTATTTTAGAAAATTAAAAAATCTTTCATCACTGTTTAGTAAATTTATAACCAATAAATTCCTATAGACATGTAGAGTAAACAATACCATAAGCATTATTCATACTCAGTAAGATGATAAGATATGTGAGTGGGGTGTCAGCTTGTTATTCTAACCTAATGGGTATACAGTGTTTTACTCCTGTAGATTTCTCTGAGGTTGGGGCTATATATTCTTTTCAGTCTTAAGGGATTTTTAGGTAAGTTAAGTTACTTGCAATTCATATAAATTAACACATTGCTCATACTGATTAAAGCTATAATCTACACAAGAGGAATTTTATAAGTCCTTAACTGGACTGAAGCTGTTTAAGAACCTGACTTCTTCCCACCTGCTTCCTCTATGGTCTTTAATCATGCTGAGACAATGAAAATTCCTAAGTTTATTTCAAAAACAATTTCTATATTCTGTGGTTTCATCCTAGGAGTCAAATGTCCATGGAGCTAGTTTGATTTACAATACCTGCTGGACTAGGCATGATGGGCGTTCCTGGTGGCCCTCCACCTCCTGGAGGACCCTAAATAATTACACAAAATTTCAGTAAAAATAAAGCAGTTCATTAAACACCGTAAGGAAAAGCAGAAAAAGGTTATACTTATCTCAATAATAATCTAATTTTGAAATACAAAGCAAATATATTTCCTCTGTAATTTATTTTCTTTGATTCACAATCAACTCAATATTATGCAAAACATAATTTAGCTTAACTATGTTGAGACTGTTTTGACAAGTTTCCAAAAACAATAAGCCTGCAACACTGGTTTATTATTCATGACTTAATCACATCACCTATAATGAGGTTAAGAAGAAACCACTTAATAGGGCCTTTACAAATCAACAAAATAGGAATAATTCACGTGTACTTTGATTGTTTGCTGTAATTTTCTTACATTCTGTGTCACTGGCTTTTACTAACACTACAAAGACATTCACATAGAGAGCATTTAAGAGACACCCATTTAGAGATCCACATTACAGACCCACTAATGCTGCTTCTTTTCTCTGTCAGCTTCAGCTGTAACACCGAGAGCTTAACACGTTAGCTATCACTTCAGTGGGAAATGAGACAGGATCCTCACGAACGCTGCAGGCTAGGGAGGCCGCAGCCCTGCAACCACTGACTGGGCAGGAGTGAATCTGCCCTTAATTCTGACAACTAATCGCACACGCTAGGCAATGAGCTTTAGAATTCTCCAGGTACCCTATGTATAATGGTCCAATGAACTCTCAAGTGGCTTAAGTCTTGACTTTATTCTGAGTGTATACATACAGCCTACCAATCACTTCAAATAATATACATATGTCCCACTAAGTAAACAACTAAAATTTCTTTTAAAATAAATGTATATAATTTCATAAAAATTTATCAGGCTTATTAAGTGACTTTAAGAGTGTTTATTCTAATTTATTTCCTTTGTTTCGTTCAAATTGTGTCAAGAATTGGACTTCTTTGGCTGAAACAGCGCAGAGGAACACTGAACCCAAAGACCACAGGTCCGGAGAGCAGCATGTGCTTTTCACTATGTTAATAAAACAGTGTTTCTGTAGGGGGTTAAAATGCTCATTGATTTTCTTCTGTGTCCTCCTTTTTACTGCACTGCAGTTGCCCATAACCTCTGAAAATTACTTTAGGAAAGGCTTCCGAGTTTACCATTTTATCCTTGCTTCTCTGTTAATATTTTCTCCTAAATTTTATAAAAATCTATCCCTTATGGTGGTCTTTGGATGAACAAGGATCATAAAAGAGGTGATGCCAAAGGATTATTTGTGAATATAAAATAGATGGTTCAAACTCACTAGCTTCAGGTCTACATGAACACTGAGAAATATTACTATGTATTAGTCTGTAACAAGGAAACAGGTTTTTCAGCTTCTAGGAATAGACAAAACCTAAAAGAGCCTTCCAAATTATTACTTTATTCTGTAGTCTGATCCACTTTGTGGTTGGGATAAAGTTTAATGTGTTCTTATCCTTTATGTGTGGTGAGCAGGCCTGGAGAGGGGGTGTATACATTATTCTTATGGAGAACTGCGAATTCAAGCATATCGTTGTGTAACTGGGAATGACTCTCTTCATGATTGGATAGAGAGTATTGTAGTGGCTCCCAGAAACATATGCCAAAGTCAGACCGAGTACTCAAGGCAATTCTAGCCAGACTGATAACTGTTTCACTAATGAACATCAACATATGTATTGAGGTTGCCAGATGAAACAACTCAAGATGTTCACTTCTTGGTCAATACACAGGGGCTCTTCTTAACATCTGGGCAACAATTTCATTGCCCAAATAAAGTGTAACATCAATTCTTATGAGCAAACAAACCCAAGTGTACTTACTACATAATTCCCAGGAGACGCTGAGGAGTACGGTATCTGGAACATGAGCAGAACAGAAACAAATATTTTCATTTCATGTGACTGCATGAGATTGAATTAAATAAATTGACTTCCCTTTTATCAAGTTTAAAATGCATCACAAAGTATTATAAAACATAAAGGAATTTCCATCTGTGTAAGTGCCAAAAAAATCTAAGCAATTATAATATTATATTAAACTCACAAGAAAATGTAGATTTCAGTCAAGAGGAACTTAAAACTATAGCTTCAAATTATATTGGCTTAAGTCATTTGTATCCACTGTGTGGTACTAATAAGATAGTCTATAAATAGAAAGATGTATACTTGTACAGCTAACACCAGGAGACCAGAAGATTTCAGATTAGTATCCTGTACAGATAAAACTTCTAATTTATGCAGAATTTAAAGACATTTACTGCTACTTTCATGCAGTACATGTTGATTCTCACATTCCCTGCTTAGTTAGTATTAAAACAATGCAATAAATTCCAAGGAATTTGCTAACTACAATGACCAAAGGCTGATAATCTGTGAGGACCAGATCCAAACAACGAATCTCCTTTCTCTTCAAATGAAGCCCCTCCTGAAAAGGCCATTTTCCAGGCAAGAGAGCTACTAATTCACAGTGCTCTGAACAATTAAAAACAGGAAGTGAACAATTAAAAATATACTTTCAAATAAACACCTAAGTGTGAGTGTTAATAGGAAAATTAAACATTTTCTTTTTCAACAAGGCCACTTGCATGACACAGCCATATGCTTTATTCCGAGAAAAGGCAGTAATCTGTCTCCCCAGACTGAGCTAGTGAAGGCCAGAAGCAAAGACCTTCTGAGAGGCGAACATGCTGATTCCTTTCTCTGATGGCCCCAAACCTGCCATAACAATGCAGTAATATGAAGTCACAAAGAAGGAAATCTACACACCACAATTTTCCCCTTAAAATGCTTGATGGTTTTTGGAACTATTTAATAGTAGGCTTTCTCCTCATTGTTTGGTGTCCTTGTTTTCTGTAAGCACAGAACACATGTCACCCAAGCCTCTACTTTGGTGTGAGTGAGAGGGTTGATGGAGCCCGAGCGCCCACAGCTACTGCAGTGATCAGTCTCTGGTGAAGGGACTACTTCCCCTGAGAACTAAGGTCTCTCCCAGCATTAAACCTGGCCTCCATTCAGTAAATGCATGACTTGGCTTTCTTGTGCCCTTTTCAACTCATGATCTACCCAGCCTTTTCAACACATTGCTTTAAATACATACATTTGTCCCCTGAACTGCCAACTTTCTCTTGGTCCCTGGAGTGCATTTCATCCCCGTCTTCAGCTCCTGGTCAGTGTTTTCTTACTCTGATATTGTCTGGCACAACAATCTAATCATCTTTTAGCTATTTATTACTCACAATATAGTATATTCCTGAACTCTGTGATCTATTGCTATCTCTCTTCCCTTTCTGAGACTTCAGAACGTCTGTAGCGAGATCTGGAAAATTCCTTTGCCTGACCTCTTTCTTACTACTCATGCTTACAAAACTTATTCTGTAATCCTGTCAGATTATTTTTTATTACACTTTCATCTTTTCTTAGTCAATTAGTTGTTCTGTTTATAAACTAAATTACCTCTACATTCTCCTATACTCTGTAGTTTATTTCTCAATATCTTAAGTTTATTCTTCCAAACATTAGTTCCTGTTTCTTTGATCCTCTGCTAGTAAGTCTCTGTTTTACAAGAGCTTTCCTGGAGGAAGACACAAAGCCAGGATGAGAAGATTACAAATACAGTCACACTCTGTAACATGTTAGTTACATGCTACATGCTCTGTACGAACATCTTCCCATTTTCTGGTCCAGCCTTTGCAAAAACCCTGACGGCTAAGTGATGAGCACGTAAACTTAGTCAACTTTAGGAGGAAGGAAAATTCTTGACCTGTAGTATTCATCCACTTCTTTGTATAAATATTCTCATTTGTTAGATTTCACGTTACCAAAGGAGTTCTACACACAGCTCATGAAATTCCTGAATGAAAAGCAAATTCTAAAATCTGGACTTATTTTTCACTCTTGTGAGCTGGCCTTTAGAGCTACTATGTCATCCTGAGGAGATACTTTGCCCTCCTGCCATACATTAAACTATCAATTTCAGGTGGGCATGCCATTGTTTACAGAATTAAAATTACACCTATTATGCTCGAGAGAGAAAGACTAGAATCTTCTGTTAGTTTCCAAGGACAGCACCTCCAGCCTTCCTCTCCACCCAAGTCTTCACTCTTCCTTCACATGGTGAAATAGAACTACCACTTTTAAATACTTTACAAATTGTTATCTCATCTAGCTGTTCAATTTATTTCCATCTCTGTCTGGACAAGCTCTTCTATTGTAGCTTATATCGACTATTTCTACATTCTAATCTTTAGCTTTCTGATTTCAGCCTGTGGGCTCCTACCCCTGGCACATAACAGAACCTGCACTCCTGCAAGCTGCCAGCAGGCTGTGATAGCATAGACATACATCACACCGAAAGAGACAGACATGCTATGTGAGTGTAGTGGGTCCGTTTCTGAGCTGGAAACCTGGGGATGAACAGAAGGAAGGTAGGTGTGACGTGAGAAAGATGAGGAGAACTGACGGGGGAAAAGGAAAGTGAGATCACACAGCACATTCAGGGAATGTTCGGCAATTTCTTTTTTTATGGCTGATACACCGTAGGACTTATGGATTGAACAGGAATGAGGGCATGCTATCAAAAATAAGAGGTTTTCCAGACATGTTCAAGTGCATGCCTTAGTGAGGTGACTCTACAGGGACCAAGGCAAGTGAATCCAAGTAGACTACTGCAAAATTTCAGCCAAGAGATGACAAAAGGAGTTGTGGATAATGCTGACCACAATAAACAGGATTGGAGAATTGAGAATCATTTCACAAATTAATTGAAAGGACACAATGACAAATGGTGCCATAATTCCATTACAGAGGATCCAATGTGCTCTTCTGAATTCCATGGGCTCCTGTATGCTCTTACATATAGTCAGGAACAAACACACACACACACACACACACACACACACACACACACACACACACACACACACACACACACACAAATAAATGTTTTAAAACATGTTAAAATGAAGACACAGTTGATAAGTAAGATCACAGAGTCAGAGGGTCAGGCTCATCTAGCTACAAAAAGCTAATGAAGAAAATTAAGGGTCAAATATGTTGCATGACTAAGCCAGAAGGGAATTCTGCATCTTAATACTCATGATGGTGGTGGTATGAATAAGGCCTCAACAGTAATGCGGCATTGAAAAGGATCGCCATCATTCCAGTTACACCTTTCTCCAGTAGGGAAGTCTACAATAATCTTGTAAGTACTGATGAGCTAGAGTAAGGGAGCGCAACATCATGCATTGTGTCAATGGAAAGTAGGAATCAGTTTTTAGTGTTTTTCTTTTAATTAAAAAATGTATTGTAGTGTAAAAAATAGCCCGTATGGTTAGTCATATTTTTCCTTAAAGGAATTCCCTCCATTTGCTTTTTCATATGCAATCAGAGAACTGATTAATAGTATGTCATACTAAACATCTGGTGTTGTGTCTACCCCTTTCCTACTTTCCAGGTAACTGGACTTTCCTTATTTTGACTAGACACAGGTTGTGCAGGCTCAGGAGTAGGCATGTGATGTAGGCAGGACATATTCATCCCCTCTGTCTGTTTCATGAAGGAGCACATGACTCAAGACAAGCAAATACAGTTCAGTTAGAGTTATTTCCAATTCCTTTCCTTAACTGGTCGTGGTATTCTTTTGTGTTCAACTAGAAGCCACAAACATAAAGATCTGGGGTGACACACAGCCTTCGTGTGTTCTAAGGGGACAGAGATAAGGAAAAAAGAAGGCACATTTTTCTGAACTCGTGGAACCTGAATCAGATTTAAATCAGGATTTTTAGAAGAAAAAATATTAAGGATTGGGGAGGGGGCTGGAGGAATAATGAAAAAGGTAAAATAGATATGACAGATGAACAAATGCATGTGAAAACAGAGATCCCCATCAATTTGTACAATTAATACGTGTTAAGAACTATCATGAAAAGTAAATAGGGAGTTTTCAGGATGAACCAGCCTTTGCTCTAGTAAAAAGTCAACTGTTAGAGAAGGAAAGAAAACATTTAAAAATGTCCATTTGGTGACCAACTCAGTGGGAAAAGAAAAGATTCAGGTAAGAATAACTAATAGATGCCAAACATGGCTGCTGAGGAGAAGGAAGGAAAAGAACACTCACCACAAGTTCAAGTACGGTTTTACATGGACCTTTCCGGAGGAAAAACAGTAATTTTAGTGTAACAGACATGGCACAAGCAGCAGCTTAGCAAAGCAATCCAAACTAAGGTGACCAGAGATGAGGCAGGTTCACCAGGAGCCTCCTGCAATGGTGTTCTCAGGAAAACACAAGGCTCCTCCCACTGTAGCCTGGCAGTGAAAACAAGCTACAGGACCTTCTAAACAACTGGTCGGTCAGCACAACTGCAGGTTAAAAGAGACGGCCCTCACTGGGGAGCGGTTCCAGAAAAGCACCAGACACGTGGCCGATGAGTGGCATAAAGGTATTATTTAGACAACTGGACAGACTCAAGTAAGATCTGTAGCTTAGAAAGCGGTATTAACCAGGGTTAGTGCTGTGATTCCGAGCACTGTTTTTGCAGTTATGAAAGGTGATACCTTATGTTTAGGAGACACACTGAAACACAACAGGAAAAACTGCTGACAGAATGAATCCTGGAGCAAATGTGGCAAACCATCAGCACTGGGGTGCTGGAGCAGGGGCATGGATTCTTGAAAGGATTCTTAGATCCTTTCAAATTAATGGGGAGAAGGTCGATCATATGAAACAAGATAAAACCCCTGAAAGCCCCTTTAATATGCTGCCCTGAGCAGGCAGACATACTGCACTGCTATCAGCTGAAAGGCATCTGTCATAGTAAATATGTACAGAAAGTCCAAGGAACTTGGAATTCAGAATAACACAGACGAGTCATCACTGCAAAATAATCAACTGTTTTGGGGGGACGTCCCTGTAACGCCTCTCACTCTGCTTCACAGAAGCCCCTCTCTTCTAGAAGGCCACCCACTCTGCAGTTTCTCCTTTTGGCTCTTCACCTGCTGTGAGAGGAGTATTTTCCCTCTGTATGCTTAGGAGGATGACTTCCTTCTCTTTCTGGGGAAACCCCACACATTCCCCACTATTTGCCTGATGCACATCCTTTGAGTTGAAGGGGTAGATACTTCTGTCTGTGGCATACATGAACAGAAAGGATCACCTTCAATCTTCACCTGTCTAAACCATACTGGCCAAATGCACATTCCAGACTGATTATGGACAGTGGATTGTGCACATTTCCACTCCAGTTTCTAGTATTTCTTGGGGTTTAAAATGATTTTGAGCTACTGATCTGATTAGTACACCAATGGTGCTTGGGTGAATCCTCAAGAGACGGGGCCCTCCCACCTGAAATTCAACAGAATATGGGATTTGCTTCTCATCTCTGCTTCTATTAAATACACTTGACTTGGCTAATACACTACCAGGTACAACATAGCTATTTCTCTATTACCTCCCCAAATGCCATGCATGGTCCTCACTGGCTCTCGGCTACACTCTCAGGTACATATGGAAAGGTGCTGATGAACATGGAGCATGAGTTATTCTCTGCCTAGAGTGGATGGCTGTGTGGACACTAAGCTTGAGATGGAGCACAGGCTTCACTTTTCTATCTAGTTTCATCAATCATGGAGGAAATAGGGACGCTTTCTAGACCCTGATGCTAGGAAGACTGTTACCTAGAAACAGTTTAATGGGTACTTTAATAGGACAAAAGTGATGTATTTGGGCTGCATGTTAGATGCCATTTCAAAGTGAAATCCTGAATAAACTAATTAAGGCAAAGAAGAAGAAGCAAAGAAAAAAAGTCTCCTAAGGCACAGAGGCAACTGAAAGCCCGGGGAAGAAGTTATCCACATTACAATATAATCTGGCAAAATAATATTTGACAAAGACTTGCTGAACAGTTCACTGAAGGCCCAAGTAGAAGCAACATCTTTCTCTTTACCTGAAATAATTAGTAAATGTCATAACTACCAAAACCAAAAGAAAATAAGATAATACAAAACTAATTATTTCCTCTAAAACATGAATGATTTAATTAACTGAAAGGAAATTTGGCTTTTGCTGTAGAACAACATTGGATCCATGATTATTTTCCCATACTTCACACACCTTATTTTTCACTTCTTTGAAGTTTTAAATTAATCTTGAATATTAGCTACATTTCCGACTTACTTAGCACTCGGGCAACTGGCGGTGAATGGAAGCACCTGTGCACAGCCAGCACGCTGCATCTCTTCCTGGTCAGCGCTCAGGAACTTCGTCCATGGAGTCTAGTCTGCTGGGCCCTTACTCCACCCCTTAACCTGGCTGGCTGTGTAGAGTGTACACACTATACTAATGTATAAAGCAGGCTTCTCTCACATTCTGAAATGCTTATGATTTCAAAGATGAAGAAATTATCTCCAGGATCATAAAACTAAAATCATTCAGTTTAAAACCTGATAGCTTCATTTGCAACCTGTGCATATATTTCTGTGACCTCATTAAGAGGGAAAAAATGCATTAAACCACTGCCACAAAAATATAAGAAAAATTCCCAGGATGTCAGATACATAGATGAGCAGGGATGGCAATTTAGCTAATAGGCACTAGGCAAATGTGCACCTGGTAGGTATGATAAACACAACTCACAATCATAGTAATTCAGTTTCCTCTAATTGAGATGCATCTTATCTGGCAACTTAATGATCTTGTAGCTACTCCAGAAGATCCAACCTTATGATAAGTAGAGATGGCTATACACACTATTGTATTACTCACTGTTTCTATCTTTTCTTTTGAAGATCTATTAACTGACATAGAACATGTTTACATAAGGAAATGAAAAAAATTACAAAATATCAAAAATTAGATACATTTTTAAAAGAATATAAACAAACCTATATTTTTTGAGTAACTTCTTTAAAAGCGTAAAACAACTGTGTTAAGTTCTTGTGAAGCTCTCAAAAGCAACAGTCTTTTCACTGCTAAATGTTACAAAGTGCAAAATATATATACTCACTGAATTGGCATTTGTTGGGTTTGGCCAAGGTCTACCACCACCTGGACCCCTACAAAATGATATGACAGATTACATTTCAACATGTGCCTAAATAGTTCCACAGTAAGTAAAGAACAAGGCACAAAACATTAATGTCTGTAATTCAGTTACTATACATGGTTCTAGTTAAGCACCAAAACTACTTTTTAGTCATCTTAATAGTTTTTCCTTGAATGAAAAAAAATTATTTCATGAAACAGTTTCATGTATAGCTAGTTTAATATTACTTATTTTTATAAACAAGAAATAGAAATTACCCATAGCAGTCAATATATGTTCCTAAATGATTTTTTTTACCAGTTTTGGAGTAAAAAGGGATCAAATACAGATACATATAATCCAATACAGCAGTAAGAGTCACCTGCATATCATTCAAAATGATTTTATAAAGTATCTACATTAAATGATTACTGTCAAATTACAAATAAGCACTATCTAAACTTGCCTCCTTAAAAATTATATTAAAGTAGATTATATATCAATGTATCATCTGGTGCTAATGATGACTTAGTTACCACTGGGAAGCACTTAGTCTGGTGTTAGCCTCATGGCCAATACCATTATAATGTAAGGCTGCCACTGAATACTAAGTATAAGTACTGCTGTTTGCCAGAAGAGAATGTAGCCTTTAAATGGGCATGTGAATTACAGTTCTACAGATATAAAAATTCATACTTCATAATTTTAGTTGAAGACAGTAGAGAGAACAAGTCTTGAAATGAAAGGAGATAATCTATACCAATATATTTCTTTATTTTAGAATTCATGAGAATGTTTTATATTTCATAGCCTATAAACAAAATTAATGCCCAGTTAATTAAATCAAGAGTCATATACTTGGGATGTGGTGTTATGTACATTTGAATAAATATTGTTTTATGAGAAGCAGACTATTTTCAACTTTCTTTCATTGGTTATAGAAAATTCTCTTTCTACTCACTAAGGCAGTGAAATTTTCTAGTTTTAAAGTTCCCTTGAATCTATGAATCTTAAATGTAAAGTAATAAACATTAAACAAAGACACTGTCCTAGTTACCTTGCTTGGACTCATTACAACTGTTTGAGATTTAGTCTGGTATTCATAGGGTATAAACAGAGGGATATGGTGTAAATCCCTCCTTCGGCTCTGTTCCAAGTGCCCTAAGGAGAATTCTCCCCTTGAGGTGATATTGATGATAAGGATGACAGTGGTGACAACAATTTTACAATTGATTATTGAACACTTTTCAAAGACAATTTTACATGCAGGATTCAGTGTCCTGATGGACATAAAATGATGCGAAACAGGATGCATGTTGATCAAGTGAAACGCTTGAGTAGGAAGATTAGCCAGAGTCTGTCTGGTGCTAAATATAACGCAGTGAAGAAGCTGGGCAACCTAGAAAACAGTCAAATCATGGGAAACTTCAACTGCACTGATGATACATAGTTAATTGTCTTCTAACTTTGAATAGGACCCACGAAGAACTGTAGGAATCGGTCTCACAACGTGGCTCAGTGGGCAAAGATGTTTGCTGCCCAGCCTCCTATCCTGAGCTCTATCCCCAGGACCCACACAGAGAAGGTGAGAACAGCTTCCTCAAAGCTGCCCTCAAACCTCTCCACACATGCTATGGCATGTGCATCCCTGACACAAAGTCAATGCAATTTCTTTTGAAGAATTGTATGAATAAAGTATATAAAATAAAATATTTAACTTAAAGTTGTCTACTATTAAATTAGAAGCTAAATTAAAAGTCAGAAATTGTTATTTAGTAAATAACATAAATTCAGTGTTAAACTTATCATAAGTAACATCATTTCTACTGTTTATACTACTTTAGTCCCAGAATTCTGTATTTCACATCAACTTCATTTGAACATTATAGGAATTACATATGAACTCACATAAACACACTGTGAGAGTTCCACAAACAGCGCTGAAGCCAACGCCTAGTGGTTTAAAGATCAACTAAGTTAGTCGATCATGTCCGCTTCTGCTGGAGCCTCGAGACTACCAAGAAGCTGACCCAACAACTCTAAGCATGATTCTGAATAAACACTAGGGGATGAGCCCTTTTTAGAAGCAAAGAAGAAGAAAACGTGACAGATGTATGTGGTTTTGGTAAGCATCTATTATGATGGACAGCTGGAATCATGACTACCAAGGAGATAATTCTCCTTTGGAACTCACTCATTTAAATAACCCACTGAACAGTCCCTTCTGGAAGTCATGGGATCTTTGCAGCTCTTCGCTTCTATAAATGGCTACAAGGCTGAGGAGCAGTGTTCTAGGGCGGGGCTTGTAAATTTTACATCACTTAATATTGGGTGTTTATTTGTTATAGAAGTGTTGAAAACCTACTTTGAATGTTCAGGACAAACTACTGTGCAGTTTGTTCCAAGTTTAAAAAACAGAAGTGTCAAGTTCCCACTACCATAAGCCTTTTTTCTCCAATGTTTTTGTGACCAATTTCTACTGTTTGTATGTTTGAGACAGGTTGTCTCTGTGTAACAGCCCTGGTTGTCCTGGAATTGGCATCGTAGACCAGGCTGGCTTTGAACTCACAGAGACCCACCGGCCTCTGCCTGCTTCCCTGAGCTGGGATTAAAGGCATGTGCTACCACAGCCCAGCAACCAATTTCTATATATGAACTTCCATTAATGGGATTAACAAAATTTGTGTTGTGACTGTTTAATTCTGCAATTAAAAGCTCTGGTGGCTGGTCAGAACACAGCACTGAATCACTGGGGGGCCAGGACTGGCTTTTATTTCACTGTCTTTATATTCTCCTGGCAAATGAGAGGAATGAAGAAACATTCCGAGTATCTGGAAGCCTGTCCTTGCTCCTAACCCATTTCAAAGTGGAGCTTGAGGGAACACCATGTCCTGTCTTTCAAATTTTCAGTAGTCCGACAGTGTTCTCTTTTTCTTTTTTCTTTGAAAATGTCATGAAGAAAGTCACGGGTGCCATTTAAAAACCCCCTCTTTGGAGGGGGTGTCACACATTTGTGTTAAAGATTATAAATAATGGATTTTAATTCAATGTATTTTACAAGTGTGATGAAGATATGGTGTATTTCTTGTTCTAGTCCACTTTGATTTGCCAGGGATACCAGCAATGAAATGATTACTCTCTTTGACTAGAATGTGATTAACCGGAAAGTTTCCCTGCCATAGGAAAGCATTTATTATGCCTAAATATGTATGTGCTTTTCACTGTCTCTGAGAGAATCCCAATTTACTAAAAATGAAGAGAATTACAGAAGACTCCAAAATAAAGGGAAAGTAACAAAAAATGAGAATAAGCACGTAAATCTTCATACTCTTTAATAACTAGACTTCATATCAACAGTGGACTCTCATATAAGAGAAAATATTTCAAACTATCTAAGAATGTTTAAGAAGGCTGAATATCCAAAAAAATCCTAACAAAAAATGAGAATAAGCATATAAGACTTCATTCTCTTTAATAACTAGAATTCATATCAACAATGGACTCTCATATAAGAGAAAATATTTCAAACTATCTAAGAATGTTTAAGAAAGCTAAATATCCAAAAAAAAAAAATCCTAGTAAGAATTTCAGCCACATTTTTCGTCTTAATGGTCTAGGGAATTAAGAGTACTCATATGTGGATGCTTAAGCACATATATGAGTACTCTTAATATCAGAGGGAACTAGATAATTTTAAGTAATTATTTGAGTCTCTTAAATCATATGAAAATAAAATTTTATTATGTACCAGCAAAATCAGGTTTACCTCAAGGTGGCTGTGTGGCTAATTATTACACAGAGTACTATATTGTTTCATATTAGATATGTCCTTATCACTTGCGACAACTTGATTGAGCATAATATTACAATTTTATTGAAATATATTGACTTTTAAAGTGAGAATCTAAATTAAGTTTCATGTATTTTCTAGCCTACTGTTAAGAGCTCCAGCTTTTAACATAAGTACAAAATACCATTCAACCCTCTGGAACAACTGTTAATAAAGGGTGAGCCTGTGAGGAGTTCAAGAGCCAGACTTCATGTCTATCCGTTTTTATTTCAAAGGCAAAAAAGACGTTATAGAACAATTTGACCTACTTTTCTCCCTGTTCTGTTAGTTTTGAGTCTGGCTGGTATCCACTTATTAACCTATTTTCAGTTTTAGTAAAAATTGCATCCTATGAAAATGGTTTCAGAAGCTTAAAAAATCCTGCATACATCAAAAGAGCTTATTTCACAGTATGTCTTCATGCCACTGAATGACAGAGAGTTGTTTCATTTAATACGTAAGAAGCTAAAAACAGGCAGATGGGAAGTAAAGTCGAGGAGCCTCAAGCCCACACGGAACACAGTAATCACTTCTGATGAGCTTCCTTTAGGCCCCATCACCCTGGTGATCCTCTGGTGAGTTCATAAACGTCATTAGCAAGATCTAGTGTATACATGCCTTCAAGTGAAGGTTGGAGAATGCAAAATAAATAAAAAATTCCTTAGCAAATTGCATTGCAACATAAACAAACTACTCTTTTTGGACTGGAAAGGTCATTCCAGTAATACCAACATCTTCAGTTTATTCCTTATCCAGTTACATCTTGAGTTTTCAAAGAGAACCAATCCTGTACTATGTAGTTCTTTAACACAGGATAGCACCACAGAGAAGTCTTTTGTGTTGAAAGTGGTCCCAATAATGCAAACGTAGACATATGTTTATGAGACTAACTCACAGTCAGCTCCCACAAAGAACTTATCAACATGACTAAGAATTCTCATTTATCATCTTCTGTAGAGTTAGTACATGGTTCTGGTATCTGCATCTCTTCATAGTGTTATATAGATTTCATATGAAATCTATACATAGTTATTAAAAAGAAACAGACTTAGAAGTTGTGAATTTATGGTACCTAAAATGCAAAAAGAATTTGAAAGTTGCATGGAAAGAAGAAAAACATGATAGTAAGTCATGAAAATGAAGTAAGAAATTGCACTCATGTTTAGTTCATTTTCATACAGTAAAGACATTGAGGTACTTAAATTGCTTTACAAATTCGTGTAATTTCAGAAGAGAGAAAACAGAATACTTCACTAAACAGAGTAATAAGCATTTTGCTTACATGTTCATTGCAGGCATTCCAGGGCCACCTAAAGCATTCAGTGGGGGTCTCATTGCACCTCCATAGTTCTGTAATGATAACCAAGGGTCAGACTACCACAAAACAAAAAAACAAAACCAAAGAGGAGGGGGGAAAGAAAGGAGAGCAGGTTAATGACTTCCCTACGTAACTCCTGACTGGATAAGGCCTGTGTAATTCATTCTCTGAAGGGTCCACTCTGGTATTTTTGCTTCTATTTTAACAACTACTTTGGTTCATGCCATTTAAAAATTCTATGAATATGGACAATCATTGGATCATGTTAAATGATCAAGATATGATCAAAATTATAACATTTAGCATATCTTTTACTAATTACCTAATATCTATACATTACTTTTTCAAATAAACATTTTATAAGTCCAAAATTCTGTTTTTAGATAAACTATTAATTCAACAGGTTTGAAATTATTAGATAAGAACAATTACATGAAGTCTGAAAAGTAACTGAACAGGTAAACCCAGCCCCAAAATGCTGACTACAAGCATCTATTCATAGACAAAGAGATCCAACATGGGCATGTGCTATTATAACACTCAAACTACATGAGAACTAAAGCATACTGAAAATATGCATGCATGAATTATGTGACTCAGTGAACCTCAGGCAATACCTACTGTGTGCATTAAAGGAGATGAAAGCAGTTTAATGCTTTAGTATGCATATCTTATTAGCTTACTAGTTGACAATAAGGGTCAAAGGTTGCTGTGGGATGTTCTGTATGTTAAATGTGTTGCTCTGATTGGTTAATAAATAAAACACTGATTGGCCAGTAGCCAGACAGGAAGTATAGGTAGGACAAGGAGAGAGGAGAGTTTGGGAACAGGAAGGCTGAGGCAGAGAGACACTGCCAGCCGCCACCATGACAAGCAAGATATAAGGTACTGGTAAGCCACAAGCCACGTGGCAACTTATAGATAATAGAAATGGATTAATTTAAGATATAAGAACTAGATAACAAGAAGCCTGCTGTGGCCATACAGTTTGTAAGCAATATAAGTCTTTGTGTGTTTACTTGGTTGGGTCTGAGCAGCTGCGGGACTGGCAGGTGAGAGAGATTTGTCCTGACTGTGGGCCAGGCAGGACTGGAGAAAACTCTAGCTACAAAAGGTTACTTTCTGATTATCATGTTAATACACTGGGCACTGTCAATGACTTTCACATTTAGTTTTCTGATGCTCATCTCTCTCCTCTCCAGTCTTGTATTCCAGGTACGTTGCTGGTTCCTTTGCTTTGTTCACTCTTTAAATGTTACTTTTCCCCACATTTTAGCTACAGCATCATTTTCAATAAATATACATTCATGGGTAATCTTATCCGCTACAATCTGTTCAAACACTGCTTACACACTAGGGCTCTGAATCTATTTTACCATGTGTCTCTGTGTGCCTGAATTACGCTGAACTCCACAGTGGCAGGCTCTGCCTGGCTGCCATCTCGTGCTCGGCACATAGAAATCATCGTCCTCTGCTTGTGCTTAAGTTCTCTATAGTCTCTCCTCCTTTAGTACGAGCATCACCCACCACATAACAAGCCATGCGAGGAATTCCTAGAAGTTCCTGGATATCCTTTCTTTTTTAAACATTTCCTCTCTGATCAACTGCCGGGGCTGTTGGTTGCAGCAGCAAAAGCTCCCGCACGGCGTTCTACTTCCTAATGTGAAGACGACTGCACCATCTTAATTGGTTTCTGTTCTACTCCATCTTGATCCCAATTTATTCTGTGGACTTCCTCGAGCAAGGTTTTTTCTAAACCACAGTATTACCCATGCCAGTTAAAAGATATGACCCAGATTACCCGTTAAATAAGCCTAAACTCCTGAATATGTTCCCATAAAGTTAATCCCAGGCCAGCCCCAGCCTATGCTTTCTGCCTTCATTTCTACATTTTTGAACTTCTTCTCCCAGTTATATTTCTAGCCTACTGGACTTTTCCAAATTAAAGAAACTGCACTTTCATAGCCATGTTGTCTCATCTACAGGAACACTTGGAGGAGGTGTTAAGAGGACGAGGAAATGAATCAATGAGAAAGGTCTGTTAATCTAGACAGAACGACATACTTGGTAAGAGAAATCCCCAGCCACTTGCTACTGTCATTGTTGATTCACTTTCACTTTAAGGAAATATTTACACTCAGGTGTGTGAGCTGTAGGAGAATCATTCTAGCCACATAAGTCATCAGGTGAAATGGCAGCCACCTGTCTTCATCTTTGGGTGAAGCATGGGAGTAGTAGGGGTAGTAATCAGCAAGGGATTTCAGAGCCAAAAGTCATGGAAATGAAAACTATACATGGTAAAGGAAGGCAGAGATTCTTTCTGGGACAGCTGGCCACTTTTCTACTTATTTGTGAGTTTTAGAGAATCTAATAGTCCATGGATGTCCCTCAGAGCTCTGGGCACAGAAAGGCATTAGCTTGGGTCTCTACTGCCATAGCATTACGGCTTCTTTAACACACTGCCTTTGGGAGCCAGGGGCTCTCCACAGAGTCTGGTTGGCCCTGGGCTTGCAATCCTCCTGGCCCAGCCTTTGGAGTTCAGGGATTACAGGTGTGTACCACAGCAGCCACTCCTTCACATGGGCCAACAATTCTTTTAACCTTATTTTCCTTACCTGCACAGCAATAACATTAATTTCCATGTAGACTTTTCACAGGACAAAATGAAATATAAACTATCAGAGTGCTTAATGAATTAAAATATGGCACTTGCTACTGAAAACCTGCAGCTATTTTAATTCTTTTTCAAGGATGTTAATAAAATGTAATGAGCCCCCTTTGCTCCACTCCCATGTAGCCTCAACTCCAAAGCATCACTTCTCTGTTCATGTGATGACCCGCTGAGTTATTATATAAGGGCTCCATATTTTGTTTTCTAGGCGTTTAGTATTGGATAATAACTTTTCTAAATGCAGCCGCATTTTCTGCTCAGCAATATGCACCCTGAAGACAGAAATCCTATTTTATTAATCTTTTTATACTCAATGGTCAAGTAAGATGTCTGATACACAGTAGGCCTTCAATAAATGATGAGCTAATTAAACTGAATTGTCACAGAAAGTGAGGGATTATCCAGTATAATACATGATTTACAGATATAAAATATTTTCATTTTGTGACTAATATTCCCAATCACAAAGAACTCAGGAAGAAAAGAAAGAAAGAAAAAAAAGGCTTTCCACGTGGCTCAACAAAGGCAGAACGGGATGAGCTCATAGAGAATCTCCGAACCTTAGCACTGGTGGCCACTGTCTATTCCTTCTGGGCTCATCTCTTAGTGCTGGTGGCCACTGTCTATTCCTTCTGGGCTAAACTATTAGAGCTGGTGGTCACTGTCTATTCCATCTGGGCTAATCTCTTAGCACTGGTGGCCACTGTCTATTCCATCTGGGCTCATCTCTTAGAGCTGGTGGCCACTGTCTATTCCATCCGGGCGAATCTGTCTTCCAATGTAATGTGCCTCACAAAAAGGTGTTCAGACTCTGTCTGCTAGGAAACTTTAAAACGTCTTTCCTTGATTGGACTGTTTAATTATTAGGAAGTTTTATCCTACAGTAAGTTGAATTCTACAGTTTAGCTGTATTTAAATACATGGAATCAGTTTATTTTCTATATGCGAGCTATACATTCTCATCTCCCATTCATCCACCCCAACTACCTGATTTTTAGAGGCTATTTCCATGAGTCCCAAGAGATTTGCTTTTTTTTTTTTAAAGAAACAGGTTAGCTAAGTGACTATCACAAAAATAAAGAGAAAACAATTTCAAACATTGTATCAGAAGACTTTTTTTTTCCTCTGATGAAATAAATAATTTTGCTTTTCTGTTTAAAGTATATTGGTACTAATTTAAAAATCACTTGTGGTTGCTGTCCTTAGATTGAAAACATATTATAAATATGCCTTGACTTGGGGTAAGAGTTTATGTCTTCACCCATACAATACACATTAACCACATGGTCACTCTGTTCTGTCTGCACTTGCTCAACACACAGTCCTCAAGAACCATTATGCTAAGTATATTTCTTTGTTTCAGCTTAAGTTGTTACCAGAAATGACTATCTCATTTTATTACACATGCCTTAAGGTAAAAAAACTCAGAAGTGGTATTTATGGAAAAATTAGGGAGACTGGTCAATGGCACAGGCCTTTAGTCCTAGCACTCTGGGGATTCAGAGGCAGGAGGATTTCTGAGTTCAAGGTCAGTCTGGTCTACAGAATGATTTCCAGGTCAGCTAAGGCTACACAGTGAAACCTTCTCTCAAGCAAAACAAGCATGCATGTATATTTTGTCTGTGCATAAAGCTACAAACACCATTCCAGAGCCTGTTTCTACAATACAGGTACAGAGACAGGACAGTTTACCCTCGGGTGGCAGCTATGTGGTAAAATGTCTGTTGTAGGAATTGTTTTCATCATCTTTCAGGAAATGAAGCTTATCTTTTTTGATGCACATATTTCATATGAAAGGTGATACGTGTGACTATGTAATGAGATTCCTGCCATTCCAAATGATTTTACTTAAACTTTCTGTCCTATCCATTCATGAGCATGGCTCTTGCTTTTGTTTAAATGCATGATCTTTATAATAAATTTTCATCAATTCCTTTTGTGTGGTGTAACTTTTATGGTTATTGTGGGTGTTTCTGGTTTCTGAGGTAAATTTATACCAAGATACTTTATTTCCTTCATACTAACAGAAATAGATATAAAAGATACTGCTAATACAAAGAGAAAAAAATACACTACAATCTGGCTTTGCAGAGGAAGTATTCACACTAACATAATAAACAGTGACTAAAAGTCACCACAAGAGTTTAGTAGCCAGAAGTAAGTTTTTATTATCTCTCATAATTTTTATAATATAAAATATAGTTATTTATAACATGAAGCACAGAACCTAGTGTACTTTTAGTTTCAGAATTTCATAGTGAGATCTACATGTCCACTGCAGTCAGCCCCCGAGGTCTGTCAATACTCCAGAAAACCACGACCCCTCATCAGGAGGCGCAGCCACCCACGGCTCTCAGGCTGAATATTTACCTGCGGTCCTAAGGGCACCATTCCTCTCGGGGGAGTCATTCTCTGCATTGGTCCACCCATATTTGGATGTCCTAAAGGAAGTATGACGAGATTAGCAATGGATCAGCTATGAGCACCATGACACCAGTTCCCTCCTTGTGGTAGAACCATGCCATATCCGAGCATGGCCGCCAACGTGTTTCGACTTTTGTAACCACAATTTCCAGCTCTGGCTATCAGCTATCCCACACCCTCTATTGCTTTCTTGGCTGAAACTTTCTTCCTTCTCTGTGTTGAATTACTTCTCTCACAGCCTTTGATCTTTCCTTAGGGCAGTATTTCCTGCACTACAGCCTTCGCTGTCCATGGTCCCTAAGTATCTCCAAGGAAGGACGAGGTTACTGGGACCCTTGAACTAATGAAGTCAGGTGTCACTTTGTCCTCTTCCCGTCTATCAACACTAAGTCCTCTATCTGAAAAGGGCGGAGGAACTGATAAATGTGTTATCATTTAACTTCCTATGTGTCCGAAGCCATAGACAGACTTTAGACGTTTTAATAGTCCGTCTCCATGTCAGCGTCTCTAACCTGCTATTGTGCATACTTGAGAATTAGCCGGAAGTGGAAACCATTTAGTCATGTTGCTGTGGAAATGCATCTGGTAAGACGATGGAGTATTTACACCAGTGAAGCTCTTCTCAGAGACCCCCTCACTGGCCCGGGCCTCAGTTTCACCCTCCTTTAATCACCTTGTTGTCGGGTCGGGTCCATTCCACTGGGGAGTAACGGCTGACTTCCCGGGACACCGCCAAGTGCCTAGCAATTAGTAAAACAGAAATGAAAAGCAATAGTGTAAATATTTATGAAACGTGCGCTTTAAACATTCCCTTTTAAGTTTCTACAACTACAAATGCATTTGAATCTCTCTTAAGATCTTTCAGTTTCTCATTCATTTTATAAACTTCATCCTTGTACATCCTAAATGTAATTTCTTTTTGTTGTAAAAGAAATTCTGTTTGGGGCCAGGCGGTGGTGGCACACGCCTTTAATCACAGCAATGGGAGGCGGGGCAGGCAAAGAATCTGAGTTTGAGGCCATCTCGGTCTACAGAGTGAGTTCCAGTACAGCCAGGGCTACACAGTCAAACCCTGTCAAAAGAGAGAGAGAGAGAGAGAGAGAGAGAGAGAGAGAGAGAGAGAGAGAGAGAGAGAGAGAGAGAGAGAAGAAATTGTTTTATCCAATCTTGTACATAAATATTGTGGAAATAAGTCTACAATAAGCCATCCTATTTCTTCTTAGTAGTTTAATGGCATCTTCAAAATGTAATTTAATAGGGATACTGAAATACCTTTCTATAAAGATCTTCTAGTTTAACTTAAATTGGAAAATCTTATCAAATTAAATATTCAAATATTTTTAAAAAGAAATCTAACAACTGTGCACCCAGATTTGGCCAGTTGCCTTAGCTGTTATCATGGCATGTAGCAAGAGCTCTAGTTTCTTTTTTGTTGAATTCTTGGATTTTGTTGTTGTTGCTTGCAAGTCCACCACTATACACTTACTGCTCAGTCTGTACAGTGTTACTTGTATGTATGATTTCAGACAAGTATTAGATAACCAGTTGGTGTGCTCTTCTCCTCTTAAGAACCCATATGTGGCCACTGCTGACATCTTTATGAGTCTGTTTTGGGATCACTTCCTTACAGAATTCTTGGAACAAACCTTACAATTGCATAACTTCAGGAACATATGAAGCATTCTCGTATATCCCAACCCAGAGTCCTCAGAGGCCAACATTAACTTCTGTCCTACCATGCCCCCCACCCCCGCCCATCATAAATTATCTTCTGGATCTCTTGAGAGAAAGTGCCTCACCATCCTACTATTTCAAGTCAGGAAATAGCCTGATACAGCAGCACCTCCACGCCACACAGCTAACGTAAGTCTTGTCATTTCTCTTATTTCTTTCTGGTACAGGACATCATGGAGCATGAGCTGCCTTGAGCTGCCATGACTCTGCTTTTCTAAGCAGAAACAACTCCCGTCTTTCCTCTCCATGCCAACCCTTCTCTGTCAGCCCTCACTGGCTGTAAGGAGAATAAACTGTGTATTTTACAGGGTGACTCTGGTATTCTTTTCATGACCTGGACTCAGGTCATGTCTTCTAAACATGAAGGAGTATCACAGAGAAGCTTTGATGCTCTTCTCTGTGTACCACATCTGAGGGTACAGGATGCCCACTCACCCACTACTGACCATCCTAAGCTTCATCATCTGATGGTGTTGGTACCTGTCAGATTTCTGTATTATAAAGCCATCATCCCCACCCCCTGAAACTGATGATTTTTATTATCAGAACTATTCTAATATTGTTAACATCCCATTCCTTACACTCCTTTGTTAGCTTTACCACTAATCCCCAACCACTGAGAAGATTGCCATATGGAGATACTCCATGCCCATCATTGCCTCTATGTTTCCTGGCTGACATTTAATGCAAGAAACCCATATTTACTTATTTACTACTCATGGGTCCTATTTTATTCAATGGGTTATAATCCTTCAATTATCTATTCCTTTTTGTATGTGTATAGTATACATGTGTATGTGCTTATGTGTATGTGGGGTTGGAGGTTGATACCAGGTGTATTCAAATGCTTTCCACCTTATTTTTTGAGACAAGAATCTTTGCTGAAACTAGAGGTCCCCAGTTACATTGACTTGGGATGGCCATGAGCCCCAGTGATCACCTGGCTCTCTCTCCCAGCACTAGGATTATAGGGGCATTCTGCTATGCCTGCATCTTATGTGGATGCTGGATTTGAGTTCAGGTTTTGAGTATTTTTAACTTTCTGCCATAAAACTCTCCAGGTGCACACTGCTCTTTACTTTGGCCTAACTCTTGGAGCAGCCCCTTCTTAAAGGATCTTGATTCTTTTGATAAGCACAGCACTTAAGCATCATGATCTGGGCAACTGGTCTTGTTTCTTGGGTGTAATATCTTTAGACACTTGTAGTGACCAGTGAGCTTGAAAAAAATCTATACAGGTGAATAATAAATTCATATGCTGTATATACATGCACATCAGATTCACTGCATATTACATTCAATACTCAAGTTCAAATCTGCTGCTACCGTGGGATTATTTTTGCCTCCTATGTAGGCTTGTCAGTATTTTATCCAACAGTAGGAAGTGTGGCCTTTACTACCTTCAATGTATTTTCTTCTGTAACTCCTAAGTGTATTTCTTTGCCCAGCATAACTCATCTTCCAAACACACTTCCAGCTACTGCAGAGTGGCTCTGGTGCAGCCCCAGGGCATCCTTGTGTAGATGGAAGATACTGACAGCAACATCAATAAAAACTACGTAATACAAACACTTAACAGACTCAACAATACACTTCTGAATGAAGTGTGGGTCATTAAAGAACTCTGAGAGGAAATTAAAAATTCTTACAGTCAGATGACAGTACAATAAATACATCATCCTTTGATACACAGCCAAGGCAGCCCTAAGAGAAAGTTTATAGATATAGGGGCTTGTATTACAAAACTAGAGACATCTCAAATAAACAACCTAATGATGTATTCAAAATTATAGAAAAATAAGAAGTCAATCTCAAACCTGGCAGTTAGAAAGAAATAAAAATTAAGACAAAAATTAATGAAATAAAGATTAAAAGAGCACACAAAATCAATCAAAGAGTCAGTTCTTTGAAAAAGTTAGTAATATTGACAAACCCTTAGCTAAACTGGCAAAAAGAAAGAGGAAAAAGACCCATGTTAAGGCTACATGTAACAAACCCATAACCAGTATTATACCAAAATCAAAAGTTGCTGATATTATTTCCCCTGAAGACAGGAACAAGACGAGGATGCCCACTTCTACTTTTATTCAATACAGTGCTCTCTGCCTTAGCTATGGGATTAAACTAGAAAAAGACACACAGGAACAAAAATAAGGAAGAAATGTGTTACACTAGCCCCATCTACACATAAAAGACCCTAAAGAATCATCTAGAAAGCTTTAAGATCTAAGAAACATTTTAAGTAAAGTTTTAGAACACAAAAAAATCAATAAACAAAATGAATTACTCTTTGCATATATGGACAATAAACTCCCAGAGAAAGAAATTAGAAAAAATCTTATTCATAATAGCTCCCAAAAAAGTAGCTAAAATAAACCTAAGCAAGGTTGTAAAAGACCTCTACACTGAAAAGTCCACCATCATTAAAAAATGACAGAAAAGAAAATACTAGATGATGTAAATAATCTCTGTGTTCCTGATCATCAAATATTAGGAATTAATGTCATGAAAATAGCTACACTACTGAAAGTGGTCAACAGATTGAATGTAATTCCCATCAGGATTCTGATGTCATTCTTCACAGAGCTGTAATAAAACAATCCAAGAATTCATATAGAACCATATAGAAATAGGCCATATTTCTGGTAAGTTTTATGTCAACTCAACATGTCATTTGGGAAGAGGGAACTTCAATTGAGAAAATGCCTCCACCAGCCTGGCCCATCAACAAGCCTGTGAGGATTAATTTCTTAATTGATGACTCATATTGGTGGTTCCAGCTCACTGGAGACAGTTCCACCCCTGCGAAGATGCTGGTCGTAGCTCTAAGAAAGCAGCCTGAGCAACCCACGAGGAGACCAAGATGTCAGCAGCACTCCCATAGCTTCTGCTTTGGTTTCTGCCTCCGGATTCCTGCCTTGTGTTCCCACCCTGACTTCTCTAGAGGTTGGAGTGTAAGCAGTAAGGTGAAATATACCCTTCCCTCCACCAAATTGCTTTAGGTCATAGTGTTTTATCATGACAGAAGCCCCAACTAAAACAAAATTGGCAGACTTGACCATGTATTTTTGGGAAGATTGTGCTGGAAATGCCACTGAGTGCTCAGAGCTCAGTGGACCATTTTGTGGGAGCATGGAAGATACAGAAACCAAAACAATACAGATGATGGAGACCTAGCTTGTGATGTTTCACAGGAAATACAGAGTCTAATCAGGCTATCTGAGTGATATTTTAAATGAAGGATACGTGGTTCTGGTCAGCTAGGAATCAAGAACTGACTTTGATTACCAAGACACTTTGCTTTGTGTGGACAATCAATACTGGTTATCTGGAACTGATAAATTAGCAATGATTAGGAAGCGACCAGCATCACTGAGGTAAGATCTTCTGGGAAGTGGTTCCTTAGGATCAGTATACAGAAGCTGTGGCCCAGAGCTGGCCAAGGCTGTATCTTGTACCAGCAGCTAAACTTGATAATGTGTAAGAGCTTCCCAGCTGGCACTTGTTTTGAAGGTATGAAGAGGGGCTGGGCCTTGGCACTGTATGGCAGGGCTGGCCTTTAGGAGAGGCTACCAGTGAAGGTACAGTCTCAGTTTCAAGAGAAGCCACATGATTAAAGGGCTTACGGAGATATGGAGGCTTGAAGTAATGTGGCAGGTCAGAGTCCCTGAGGAGAGGCCATCAGAGGTTACTAGTGAATTGGCAGCCCGAATGCAATGGAGACCCCAACATTTTGGAGATGTCAGTATCACAGGGCAACTACCAAAGACAGCAGCCACTGCTGAGTGGTTCCGGCCTGAATTTAGAAGATAAGCTATGTGTGCTAACAATGGCAGAGCTGGAGAAATGGAGGGAGTCCTTTAATGGAGCCCAAAACACTGTGAGTGCGGAGCGCTAGAAGTCAGACACTGAACTTTTTATACTGTTGCACTTTGGCTTTGTCTGCTTTGGTCTGATTGCGACTGTACCCTGGTTCTTCCACCAGCAATGGAGGAGTGTTCCCCTT